CTGTTGGCAGTCAACACCTACACCAGCCACGGCCTGCAAGAACTCTACCCAGACCGACTTCGTTTTCATGCCCAAGACGCTGCTAGGGGACGCTTCTTCGGCAGGACCGCCCCGGAGGTTCGGCAACAACCGACAAGTAATCAGTAATCGCCAGGCCCGCGATCACGTGCAAGTACACGTTTGCATTCTCCACAGCATAGAGCGCACCACCGACTCCCAAACCCACTGTGACATGGCGGAGAACCGCAGGCTGGGCTACGTACCTCGCTCCATCCAGTGATACCGCGCTGCCCTGATGCAGGCTCTCCGCAGTGGGGTGGGGCGGGCAGAATTTCTGACGGAGCTGGAACATTATATTCGCACGCGTGCCGATTAATGGCAACATATACAGCACCACGAGCAGACGCCCAACGCAGAGCGGGGCGTTCTTATGGATGTTATGATGACGATGGGTCGCAAGTAGTTTGCTCGAGCTCCCGAGTACCGACCTGGATGCCTTGCGCTGGCTGCTACGATCCAACCGTTGCCCGACCAACGGCGGGAGTTCCGACGTCCACTTGGAGTAATCGATCCCGGATGTGACTCTGACGACATCCTGATGCCAGCCTTTCAAAAAGGTTGACTGACTGTTGAAATGCTTCACCAAAAGGTTGCGCTCCGCTCGACGCCACTATTGGAAGCAGCGGAGACACGACACGGTGGATGAGTTGAGGGAGGCACGACGAGATGGGCGACGCGCCGAGGTCGCCCGATTTTTTTTTTTTTTTTTTTTTCAGGAATGGGCCCTCGCAAGAGGGATTGCCGACACGCCCCATTTGCAATGCCTACGGGAGAGGAGCATGCTGAACGCAGGGCTTTACCAGCGGGCCGTGGTGGCATGGCCGCGGCCAACGCCGACTGGATCAAGGACGCCGACGACTACATCTACAACATGGACACGGGCCAGGAGGCACATCACTTCCTGGCGCCATGGACCGAGGAGGGCTTGGCGTGGGTTCAGCATCGCATTCAAGAGATCCGCGCTTGGCTACGGCGAGCACCTAGGAGACGAGCTTGCCCGCCCTGGTCAGCACCGCTGGAGCTCTGGTGGATGATTCCTCACCCCTACCGTCGAGTTTCACGTGGCCACTATAGCGTCGGCTACGGGGCCCCTCAGATTGACCAGGAGTGCACCTGCAGATTCCCCGTCGTCTTTATGCATCGGCGCCGGAGATCTGGACAGGCACCGTCCGCGTGGCACCTTAGCCTTGGTGTTGCGCTCGCGTGGAAACGCGCAATCCACCTCCTCGAGCCGTTTTGCAAGGGTATCATGGCAACGGGCCTGGGCCCCGTCGAACTACTTGAGGATCCCCTCTTCGCTCATGGTTGCTTTCTTCGCCGACGGCGAGAAACGGCCATTCTTGGACAGCAGCTTTGTACGTGGAAATTGCGCAACCCCGGTATCCACCAAATCACGGAGCTGGAAATATCGCTAACGAGTTCGCCTCTACCGACTGGCGCGCTTGACAGATGCGAACGAGAGCATCATGCAGGAGGACCACGTGGCGTTCGGCGGGCAACATTTTCGCTTCGCGGCAGTGATGTTCGGAGATATATGCGCAAGGCCCAGCGCCGGCGCGCCCGTCGGAGACCCCTGGGCTGCGAAGGGTTTCCGTGAGAGTCATCAGCGCGGTGTTTGCGAAAATTGTTGACGCTTCGCGTATCCCCACCAGCCTCGGCTGCAGCTTGCACCGCCGCCTGATCCGCGGCCCGCGCACGCGCCCGGCTAACCCCGGGAAGCATTTAAGAGCCCCCCCCCCTCCGGCAAATCGATAACCCTTCCGCGCCATCATCCATGTCCGCATCATCATCACCATCATCATCGTGTCCGGGTGCTACAGCTATCGTTCGGTTATTTCGGCCCTTCGGAATATCGAATAAAAAATGCGGTGCTGCGATATCGCCGGGGGGGTTCTTAAATGCTTCCTGGGGTTCATTTGTTACGGCCGCAGCCCGACCGTGACCCGCCGCCGCCGGCGCTTCCGCCTGCGGCTTAATATATATATATATATATATATATACACATACATACATATATATATATATATATATATAGAGAGAGAGAGAGATCCCCACCAGCCATGCTCGTCACGTTAGATGCTCCCTGGTACGCGTCCCTGCTCTTATCTCCGGTTGGCAGTCGCCTGCGACTTGTGCCAGGTAGAGGTTTGGGACAGTTGTACCTTCTGCATAGCGTCACATCATGTTACCTGGTGGCTCGCCTGCGAACGCATCTATTCGAGGTTGTCTCCCGGGCCTGACGTGCCCTGTTCGGTTACTGACACCACGAATTTCGCGCCTTTTGGCTGCGTTGGTGCGCACTCTGAAGCTGCGACGGTTCGCTGGCGCTGTCAGAGTCCAACCTCTCCCTACGGTGCGCAGTCTGGCGACAGCTTGCGTGTCTCTCGGCCGCTTCTGCTTGAGCATGGCAGACGCCCTGGGACCCCTTGGTACGCCATTCCCGCGCCGAGGTTGGCAGACTCCCTACTGTTCAGGTAGTGTCTCAAGCGGCGTACTGCTTGGCTATGGCCTCTGACACTTGGGGGTATTTGCATCGCGCCACTTTGGCAGCGCAATTACTGCTCCCTGGGTGCTGGTCCCTGGTCGTCAGACTCCCTGTGTTGCAGCGCCCTTGCACCCGCCGCCCCGGCGCCGGCCGCGGCCCGCGCGCGCGCCCGGCCAATTAGTTCTGGCCGCAGCCCGACCGTTACTCGCCGCCGCTGGCGCTTCCGCCCGCGGCTGTGAAACATATATTTCAAAACAAAATATCCCCGCCAGCCCATCCAGAAACGATGTCCAGGCAAGTTGAAGAGATCAGGGAAGCGGGGGAGCAACGAGAGGGACAGCCAATCCGCGCAAAGGATGAGGCGGAAGAGGAGGCCAGATGGATAGATGAGGGGGTGGCGAGGAACCGAGCGAAGGAGGGATGAGAAGAATGATGACGTTGGGTGGATGGTTGAATGCCGCTCGGACGCCTCTTGGAAGCCTTTTTGAAGCCTCTTCGGGCGTCTGGGGGGTCTCTTGGCGGTCATTGGAGGCTCTTGGGCGTCATGGGTGCTTCGGGGGGGCCTCTTGAGGCCGCTTGGGGTCCTCTTGGGGGGAGGGGGGGGGGTGGGTGGGGGGGGGGGGGGGCTCTTGGCGGCCTGTTGGAGGCCTCTTGGGGGTCTCTTGGAGCTTCATGGCGGCCTCTTAGAGCCTCTTGGAGGCCTCTTGGAACCATCCTGGGAGCCTCTTGGGCCCTCTTGGGGGCCCCATTGGGGGCCTCTCGGGGCCATCTTGGGGCCATCTTGGCGCCTCTTGAGGCCTCCTGGGCGCCTCTTGGGGCCATCTTGGAGGAGGTCGATCAAAGAAGAGGGTGGGGTCAATTAGCACTGCCCCCCCCAAGAGACCAACATGGGGCCAAAACCCTTGTAAAACTAGCGAGTTTGGCTTCCTCGCCGGGGCCATTTTGGGCGCTCCAACTACCAGCGAAACCCCCCGTCCAGGTCCAGGGGGGGGGGGTTAGGGGGAGGGGTGAACCCCTCCCCGAAGGGGGAGCAGGAGGGGTGGACGAGAAAATGCCCTAAACCACCTACGCCCAGAGGACTGTTGGGATTCAGGGGCAGCCTGGGGATTTCGGCCCCGAGTCTGCTACCTGGCGTCAGATCAGCCTGCGTCATGATGGTGAGGAATGATCGTTGGACCTTGCGTTCCGCCTTTGCGTCGGCGATGCTCTTCGCCAGGCAGTCGTGGCGGCGCGTGCAGCATCGGAATTCTCAAGATGGTTTGGGGCATGCGACCTGCTGCTGTCGGCAGAGCTTCGCCGCCGCGGCTGCGCCCTCAACCCCAGCAAGACTGTCAGCCCCTTCTCGTTCGAGGGCGCGGGGTTGCACGCTCGACGCAGGGGGGCGAGTGAAAAAGAAGTTCGTCTCGCTGGGGCCCCTGCATACTCCACTCGCCATCATGGGGGGGCAGGTTCGTTTCGGGCTGGGTTGCCCTACAGACTGGCTGCGGTGTCGTCGGGCTTCCATTATGTGGGCAAGCGCTGGTACTCCGAGCGCGTTGCCTGCGCCGAGCGGCGTGCCGTCTTTCTTGCACGCGTGGCGGGGCCTGCTTGTTCGGCGTGCGAGGCGTTCCTGCCGACCTCGAGTCAGTCGGGGCAGCTCGCGCCCAGGGTGGTGTTCTTCGTGCGCAGAGCAATGGGGGAGGCTGCGACGTCTTGGAAGGGTGGCCCCGCTCGATTTGCCACTTCCGTGGCCATCCTGAGGCACTGGAAGGCCCCTTCCGCTGGAGGTCGAGTCTCGGGTCAGCCGCTGGGCGATCGACCCCCTCGCGCACGTGGGCGACCCCCCCCCCCCCCCCATCGGCGATGTGGCCCCCCCTAAAACAAAACGTGTCTCGACACTTTGACCTCCGATCGCCACCTCGCGTCGACGGTGAACCCCCGCTCCATTCAGTTCGTTCGGGATCTTGGGGCGCTTCGGGTGGTCTCCGCGGACATCGAGGAGGATGTGATGTCTTGGTCGGGCGCCCCCCTGGGGTCCCCCGGGGAGGGGGGCCTGCGGGGCTGGTTCACGGGGCTGGACCTCTCTGTCGTCAGGGCTGAGTGGCTCTTGGTCTTCATCCCCCCGCCAGGGCGCCCCTCCTCTCAGTCCCGACCAGCTCCGCCATAGGCACCTGCAGGGCGCGCTGGAGGCTTTCGCTGTGCGATCGACGGTGTCACAACATGTTTCTTGACTACACGGCAATGGCTCGTGCATGTTCGGACGGCACATGGTTTCCAGACGCTACTCGGGGAAGCTTCCCAGGGGACCTCGCGTTTCGCCTGCTGCAGCAGGTTTCAGAGTCGGAAGTCGGCTTACAACGACGCGCTCGAATCGTTCACATCGGGATTCAGCAAGCACCAGCTCAGCACTACCCTCGAGCTCGAGGTCCCCGAGGGCCCTTCTTCGCTTGTCGCCTTTGCGAAGCTCAAGCCCCTACGGACATAAACCTTCACACCCACGCTCGGCTTCGCTTCGAAGATTTGCCACTTGCACTGGCCGATGGGGCTCGACGAGCCCAGCTGGGCGGCGAAGCGCATGGGCGCTGCGGCGACGGAGGAGGCCGACTCGAGGTTGGCCAAACAGGCTCGTTTGCTTCAGGAGCTCGGCGAGGAGGCGGCGGCCAACCAGAAGGGCGGCGCAAGAGGGGCGCCCATGGCCTTGCTGCTGGTGCCCACGAGGTTCGCCCCCCCCAACGTGCGCGAGTTTGACGAGGCGACTGGCGACTGCTTCAAGCGCTGCACGGTCGGCTCCGAGGCCCTGTTCGCCACGCCGCTACAGGGCGTCTGCGCGGAGAGCTGCAAGGCCGAGGGCAAGGTGCACGAGTTCGGCCCGCCGTGGCCGCGCGCCTTCAAGGCCTCCATCAAGTGGGCGCGCACGGACGGCAAGAAGATGGCCCCGCGGCCAGCTCGGGACTAATTGATTATTGTGAGCAGGTGGCTCCCGGCCCCGACGCGTCGGTGAAGATGGCAGCGCTCTGCCGCCACTTCATCGCGATGGGGGATCAGCAGCAGGCCCGCACGCGGAAGGGGGGTACGCTGATGAAGGCCATTCAGTTTACGCTCGAGGCCGCTAGCACGATGGAGCAACCCGCCGCCCCTGTTCCAGGATTTCCTCCCCGCGGCGGGCTCAAGAGGGAGGCGGCCAAGCCCGCCCAGAAACTACGCCTCAAGGATATGCCAGCGGACGAGGAGTCGTGAGAGTTCGTCTCGTTGAGATCAACGGCTCTCGCCGAGCCGCCGAATTGTCGACGGACCTCTGCTAGCCCTCCAGGCTCGGACCGCTTCCCCCATCGTTAAGTGCGCCGATGGCGCCCTGGAGGTCGGCCTCTTTTTTGGGCCCCCCCCAGCTCAGGCCTTCCTTGGCGCCCGGCGGTTTCGGGCACTTTCAGAGGCCCCATAGGCAGCTGCGCCTCGCCGAAAGCCAGCTAGGGGAGGGCCGAGTCGCCGCGTCCTCTGGGCCCTCGGACGTCTGGCTTGCGCCGCGCCGTGAGTCCTGATTGGGGTTGTGCTGGGGCAGGCTTTCGCGTCGCCTGCCCTCTCGACCGCGCGCTGAACAGGAGTGCGTTGGCGCGCCCCCGAGGTGTCCCCAGACGGCTCCTCCTCCCCCTCCTCCTCCTCCTGGCTTGCCCTCTCCTCCCTTCTCTCCTCCTGCCCGCAGCCCCTTGTCGCGCCCCCCGAGGCACGTGGACAAGGGCGAGGTGGCGCTGAAGGAGAGCCGTTGAGCGCGCGCGCTGGGTGTCCACGCGCCTCGCCGCCGACGTCGATCGGGGAATGGAGGGGAGGGGGAACACTCAGAGCTCGTCTTCGCCCATCTGGGGGAGAGGAGGAGGAGCAGGGGGAGGATGAGAAGGGGGAGGAACATGAGGAGGAGGAGGAGGAGGAGGAGGAGGAGGAGGAGGGAGAGGAAAATCGAACGCCACATGCACCCCATCAGGTCCGCTTGCTTGCCGCCCTTGCTCCTTGCCCTTCTCCCTCTCATCTCCCCCCCTTGCTTGCCGCTGACTGCTGTGACTTCTCGGGGCCCTCCTGGTACATCTTCAAGACGATTGGGCTGGTCGCTTGGGCGTTCGCCGCCGCCGTAGCAGCCGTCGTCAGGCGTCTTCGGCCGTCGTCGTCTTGTCCAGTGTCCGTCGTCGTCCCTGCCGTCGTCGTCGTCGAGTAGGGGGGATCGTCTACAGAGTCGTTTCTCTCTCGTCGAGCCATGCGAGCAGTGTTCGTAGATCTGCGAGCATCCTCAACATGTCCCATGGATTCGACGAACAACTCAAGCTCGGATTAGATACGTTCTGTAGTCGATCCCCTACAGGCGGCCCGGATTAGTGTCCTCGTGTCCTGTGCCTTGCGACCCATGCCTCCTGCATTTCTGTGGCAACGTGGCCCTCGGAAGGGTCTTGTGTCCTCTCGCGTGTCCTCTCCAATCAGTGTCCGCCGTCGTCCTCCCCGGCCGCCGCCGAGCCGCCGCACGCCGAGGACGTCCACTGCAGGAACCACGCCGCGCTGCGGCAGTCCCTGTTCGAGGCCGGCAGGGGGGGGGGGCACCCGCCTCTCCCCGCCGCCCAGGGGCGGCGCCGTGGCCTCGCGCCAGAGTGGCCCTGGCGCTGGAGTGGCCTCTGGCAGGGCTCGTTTCGATTCCTCCGATTCGATCCGATTCGATTTCGACGTATTCCGATTCCGTTTCGATTGGATTTGGGATTCCGACGTGGGAGCCGATTTCTGATTGGAGGCATTCTAGCCTGCCGGTGTTCGCCGTTTCGACTTCTCCTGACTTGGCTGCCGATTTCCGCCGATCCGATTCATTTCGATCGCGACTTATCGATTCGATTCTGGGCTCTCCTGCCTCTAGGTTCGAGTAGGGATCGACTACGGAATCGATTTACCCCCCAGCTGGAGTTTCTCGCCGCGCCCATGAGAAATCCACGTAGAACAGTCGGTTGATCCACGGAGCACTGTACTGCAGGCGTGCTTCGTAGAGATCGACGGGCCAGCAGTTCTGGGGCAAGTCGATACGCCTTTTGACGGGCGCGTCCCGCACTGTGACGGTGCAGTTCTTGCCCGAGGTCTGCAGCGGGAGGCCGCTTCAGAGGTCACAAACGGGGTCTCGTAATGTCCTTGACGGCCCCGCCGGGCCGACCCGAGTCCCCCGAGCCCGAGTCTTACGTCTCCCCGAGCTGCGCGCAGAGAGGGGTATAGTCGGGGCGCTGAAGAAGCTACCCTTCTCGTTTGGGAGGGGCTCGGTGTTCCTCGATTGTTCTACAGCTTGCCTTAGGTTCTCGAGGTTGTCCATAAGAAATGGAATTTTCACTAATTTGAAAAAAGGGGCCTCGTTCCTTGTTCAGGGTTCCTTGGGTCAACGCCCCGACTGTAGGGGGCGGGGGGAAGGCTTCTTTCAAGCAGTGGCGAAGCGTCCTGTCTCGCCTGTAGGCCTACCAAGCAATGTTCTGAGAACCTTTTGTGTTTTCCACGAAGTGTTCTTGGAACATGTCTGGCGGAGCCTGTCTTGTTCTTGTTATTAGGAGACGTTTGGGTTCTAAGAACATTTCGTTGTAGGACTACAGGAATGCTGGGACGGTCGGTCCCTGCTCAATTCTTACAACCACGCGACAATTCGATTGGCGGCAGGGGTAGGGTTCGGAATTCGTCGAACACGTGGCGAAATCCGACTCCTACCCGCGCCTCCCATCGATTCAGAAGGGTCAATGGTTGGTGGGGGTAGCCTTCTAATGTCGCCGCCTAAACCCGAGGCAGTGTAGCAAGCAGTCTGACGCAGCACGGCCGCAGATGATTCTGGCCACGCAGGCGCAGGTGCTAATCAGGCCGTTTGGGCAGGACATGACAAATTCAGCCAGTAGCGAAGAGTGCTGACTTGCCTTTGCTTATCAACAAATGTTCTAAGAACCTTCTGTGGTTTGCACGGACTGTTCCTAAAACATTTCTGGCTCAGGTCGTCTCAGCTCAATACATCGGTGTAACCGTGTTAGCACATTGCACTTACCATTGGAATCTACTGTGGCTCCAGGAACTTTGCGCTGCAGGGTGATAGGATTTCCGTTTTGGTAGGTCCCTGTTCAATAAACAGTCTTTTGCAGCATGCACGTGGAGAGAAAAGAATCGGTGGAGACCCATGCCAAGAAACACCCTGCTTGCCTCCAGGGTGCCCTGGGTTTCTGGAGTTTCGATGGTGTTGCTGTGGAGAGCGTGACGTCCCCACACCAAGAATCGATGGACGTCCTAGGGTTTCAGGGCTGGGTTTCTTGTGGAAGGTTTCTTGTGGACGGGCCTCCTCTGTACACTTTCGGCGGTCCGCGCGGATGTTCTTGCCTCTGCACTGGCTCCCCTCACAGCGGCACACAGACACAATTTCATCGTCGCCCCCCCGGAAAAATATATGGGAACTTACCGGAGGCGGGGGGGAAGACGACAATCGAAAACATAGAGAAATTACACCAGAGAAAACCCCAATCAGTGGATGGTTTGCGCTGTGGGGATCGACCGGGAATCTGGGAGCCCGGGAACCCAGAACCCACCGAAATCGGCCCGGAACCAACCTGGAACCCAGGAACCAGGAACCCAGGAACCCAGCCTGCAACCACAATCGGCGGAAAACTTTCGCCAAATCTTTCAACTTCCGCTAGGACCCCTTCAGTGCAAGCACTGATTGGGGAACTATGGGGAATCCTGGGAGTTGGGTTTCCCGTGGAAGGTTTCTTGTGGACTTGTCTCTACACGTCTTGGGGTCTACGGCGGCAGCTTTTCCCAGGGTGCCTCAGAAGGTCTTGGCCATGGGTGTCCTGTCAGGGGTGGACCCTGATTTGATGATGATTATGATGATGATGATGACGATGATAATGACGATGATGATGATGATGATTTTCAACCTCGTCTGCATCATCATCATCATCATCATCATCATCATCATCATCATCATCATCATCATCATCATCATCATCATTATCATTATCATTATCATTATCATCATCATCAGCAGCAGCATCATCATCAGCATCCTTCGTTTTGTTGTTGGTGCGGATGCTCCTCATGAGGCGTCGGTCGGTTGCCGTCATCGTGGCGACGGGGATCGCGGTGATGGCGATGATACGTTTGAGTGCGAGGATGGTGAGCAGCAGCACGGCACAACACAGAAGAGCCATGATGCAAGTGTTGTGTTGCGGGTCGCGATGCTGAAGGCAGAAGGGCGAGTCTGAAGAAGACCAAGGACAATACAGATAGTTCAGAAGGCAGAAGGTTGTGTCATGGGATGAATACGAATGAGAAACATCATGGCACGTATTTGATGAGAGCAAGGATTGACCACAACGTTGTTTAGTTTGGATTGGGCCTTTGTTGTGTTTAGGTTTCGTTGTTCGCTTTTGTTATGTTTCGTTGTGCACTGTTGGTTTGAACGCCTCGTTTCCTTTGTCGTTTCGTTTGACACCTGCTTCGATCTAATATTTCGTTTTAAACGTCGGGTTTCCTTACGTTGCTCGTTTTGAGCGCCATTTTGTTTGGAACATCGTTGCGGGTTCGGTCCTGGGACGAGAGGCGAGGTCGAGGAGGATGTGGGAGGGGGACCAGGAGCATCAGGGCGAGAGGGGCGAGGAGGAGCGCGGCGAGGGCGACGGATCGCGGAGCGCACAGCGAGGAGGGGTCTCCTCCCTCCTCCCTCCCTCCCTCCCTCCTCCCTCCCTCCCTCTCCTCCCTCCTCCCTCCCCCCTCCCTCCTCCTCCCTCCTCCCCCCTCCCCCTCCTCTTCCCTCCCCCTCCCTCCCCCCCCCTCCTTCCTCCTCCCCCTCCCTCCTCCCTCCTCCCCCTCCCTCCCCCCCTCCCCTCCCTCCCCCCTTCCTCCCTCCCTCCCCCCCTCCTCCTCCCTCCCTCCTCCCCCCCCTCCCTCCCACCTCCCCCCCACCCTCCCCCCCCCCCGCGGCGCGCCGCCGCCCCGCGGAGAGCAGGTGCAGCTCCTGCTGGCCCTGGAGAGGGAGGCCGGCCGCCGCAGGGAGGGCTCGTGCCCGGCACGATACCTCCTCGCCTCGGTCATCCGTCTTGGAGCCTCGGTCCTCGATCCTCCTCCTCGATCCTCCTCCTCCTCCCCCCCCCTCCTCCCCTCCTCCCCCTCCCCCTCCTCCTCCCTCCTCCTCCTCCTCTCCCTCCTCCTCCTCCTCCTCCTCGCTCCTCCTCCCCCCCTCCTCCTCCTCCTCCTCCTCCTCCTCGATCCTCCTCCTCCCTCCTCCTCCCTCCTCCTCCTCCTCCTCCTCCTCCTCCTCCTTCTCCCCTCCTCCTCCCCCTCCTCGATCCTCCTCCTCCTCCTCCTCCCTCCCCCTCCTCCTCCTCCTTCTCCCCCTTCTCCCCCCCTCCTCGATCCTCCTCCTCCTCCTCCTCGATCCTCCTCCTCCTCCTCCTCGATCCTCATCCTCCCACTCCTCGATCCTCCTCCTCCTCCTCGATCCTCCCCCTCCTCCTCCTCCTCCTCCTCCTCGATCCTCCTCCTCCCCGTCCGGATCGGCTCCCTGGGCCTGAACTCAGCGGAGGAAAGGTATTCCGAGCTTCTCAATAAGCGTCGGGGGGGCGTCACCCCCGCCGACGGCCCCACATCGACCCCCGTCGCGGGCAGCCACCGCGCGCCGAAGGCGCTCCGACCCCCGTTGCGGCTCGACGACGAGGCGATGTTGAACCCCGTCCGGGGGGTACCCACAAACGCTTATTAAGAAACCTAGAGTGCCCATACCTCTGTCCCCCGCCCTGGGCTCAAGAGACGGGGGTCAATGCAAACGGGGGTCAGTCAGAGCGCCGGATCTTGCAGGATCCTGCAGGGCCAGGGTCACACTGATCCGGGCTTGGGTGCAGGATCCTGCAGGATCCTGCAGGATCTTGCAGGATCCTGCAAGGCTGGACTGACCCCAGTTTGCATTAACCAGTGCGTGCCCGAGAAAAAAGTACCCCTACCTCTGACCCCCGCCCGTTTTCCCCTTTGCGGGCCTCCTTGGGAGGTCCTCGTCGGCACCGCTGGATTCGCCTCGAAATCCTGGTCAGAACAGCTTGGGAGCGGTTCCGGGGAGTAGCGGTATCGGTCCTTTTTGGTTTCCCCATGAACGCGACGTAGCAGGGCTAATCGGTTTGTCGCACCGTTGTTTTGAAGCTCTCGTCTCGCCAGGGGACGAATAAGACAGTACAGTGGTAAGGGAAAAGTCCGCTTGCCAGACGCCGCACCCCAGCTGCAGGCAAGAGTTGTTTTCGTATCCACTGCGTCTTGGAGTTTCGGGCTCACTTCCCCAGAGACCAGCGGCGAAGTCGATATGGATGAATATCGCGCACTTTCGAGATTATTTTTTTATCCATATTCAGTGCGCCTGGGCTTTTTGGCGACCCTTCCCCAAAGTCCACGCAGCAGTGGATATGGCTATACATGTTGCCCGCGCCAGCGCGCGCGCGGCGAACGCTGCACCTCAGGGGATCACCGAGCGCGCTCCACTACTCGCAAAGTGCCTTCTCGCAAACGTCCGAAAACACACATGTCTGCTTTGATGTAAGTTACCGTAGATCCCCCGCGGCGGATCCAGGCCATTTGCGAGTAGTTATTTAATCGCTTCGCTCATTCCGCCCGCCCTGGAGCCCTCTTTAGGGCCTCTTGGGGACCTCTTGGGAGTCTCTTGGGGCTCCTTGGCGGCGTCTTGGGGCCCCCCAGGGCCTCTTGGGGGGCTCTTGGGGGCCTCTTGGGGCGGGAGGGGGGGCAGTCGATTGCGGCTCCCCCCCTCGGAGGCCACGATCCTCGTGAGGGGTGTCGAAAATTTGCCCGGTCCGGCGAGCAGTTCTTTTGCGAGCAGTGGAGCGCGCTTGTCTGGGGGGTGATAGTCCCGCCGAGGCGGCCGGCGCCCTTCCCTCGTCGCCAATATACTCGGCCTGCGCCTCGCGGGGCCGGTCGGGGCGCGCCTCTCGGGAGAGAGGTCCGGGGAGCGGCGGTGCCCCGGGGGCCCGTGCGGTGGCCACACCGCGTGGCGAGTGGGTGTTGGCCTCGCTCGGACGTGTGCATTTTTCCCTCGGCGAGGACCATCGAGGAGCATCCTGGATTCATGTGGCGAAAAAGCCACGCACGAAACCGAACAAAAACACAGGGAATGGACGTCCGAGCGATGGCCAGGGGTCAGCCCGAGCGCCCCGACCTTGCAGGATCCTGCAGGTCCAGGGTGGCATTGACCCGGGCTTGGGTGCAGGATCTTGCAGGATCCCGCAGGATTTTTAGCATTGACCCGGGTTTGGGCGCAGGATTTTGCAGGCGTTTGCAGGAGGTTGCAAGGCCTGATTGACCCGGGTCTGCGTTGACATGGGTCAGAAGATCCCCAATTCTTACATTCGGATTTCGGAAAATAGTATATGCTTGTTGTTCGAAAGACATCGAACTTGTCAGAAGAGCACGAGTGCTATTCTTGACTATTCCCCTCGTAGACGGACGCTTTCGACTTACAGCTACGGCCTCCCGAGGCCTTTGGCACGGTGGTCGCCTTGTCCGCCGTGCGTCTCGGGCGGCGTGACTTTTTTTTTTTTCGGCGGGCCAGGGCGGGCGCTCCTGTGTTTTGATTATGAGTTCCTCTTCCTCCTCGTTCTCCTCCTCCTTCTCCTCCGTTCCCTCCTCCTCATCCTTCTTCCCCTCCTTCGCCTCCTTTCCCTCCTCCTCCTCCTCCTTTTCCTCCTCATCCTTCTTTTTCCTTTCATCCTCCTCCTTCTCTTCCTCCTCCTCCTTCTCGTCCTCTCCCTCCTTCTCCCCTCCCTCCCCATCCCTTGTCTTGGTTGGTGTTTTAGGCTGGCGTCTGTTTCTGGGGAGGGCGCTTGGCTACGTCCGCGTCTGCTCCCGTTCGTTGCTTCTGTCTGTTTGCGTATGTTCTTTTTGTGATGGAGAGTGGGGACCATGACCGACATGTCGCGGGATCTCGTCGACGCCGATCTTGGTCATTGTCCACGCTGGCCGTCATCGATGCGCGGGGACGAACCGCGTTGTGACGTTGGCCAAGTTTTACGGTGAGCAAGATGGGCACGACGTCTCCGCGTTCAGTCGTGGTCATGGTCCGCGTTTTCTTCAACTCCAGAGAGGGTTCTCCAGCAGTTCGCGGCCCTCCCCTCCCTTCCCTTCCAGCCTCCTTCGCCACCGTAGCACCAAAGTCGCACCGCAGCAGTCCCTCCGTAGCCACGACCGCAGGTTGGATCCACGGCGCCGCAGATCAAAACAGTTGTTGATATGTTGTTTGTTATCATCGGTTCTTTCGGGCGGCTTCCTGACGCTTGTAAAGAGTGGCTCAGTCTGAGGTCGCTGGGGTTCCTGGCGCCAGTCTGCGCTGCGGATGCCCTCTCTCTCGCGTCTGCGGAGGTGATCGGAGGGTGTCCGATGTGTTATTTGTCGCTGATCTTTCCCCCCATGGGTCTTGGGACGGATTTCGGAGGTCCTGGATATTCTCGGGGGGGGGAGGGGAGGAACAGGAGGTCCAGGGACGCTTCAGCCCCTGTGAGGAAAATGGCACGAGGTCCACAGGGGAAGAATGCGACGGGGGTCGGGAGGCCTTCTCTCCCTGCAGCCTGCGAGGGGCTCCCAGTCTGGCCCTCTGCAGGACCAGACCGGGCTGTGGGATCCGCGAGAGATACGGAGCCAACGTTAATTTGAGAGAGTCACGGCTTCTGAGCGTTAAGGCGCTTGGAGGTTTGATAATCAGAAGCGGACTGGATAACGCTACCGCTACCCTGCCTTCGCACACAGCCCTCTGGGAGAGGTCCGGAGGGTATAGCGACACCGGTGCAGCTGCCTAGCCCCGTCCTCCTGCCCCCCTCCCGCACCTCCTCTCTTCCCACTCCCCGCGCACAGGACTCGCGGTAGCACCCCCTGCACGCTGGCGGGACACTAGGGCATTTCGTCCTCCAGCACCATCCCACTCGTCCTCCTGCTTTGCTTTCCCCTCCCTGGGACGGACTTTTCGTCCTGAACCGTCTTCTGATGCTCCACGGCCCATAGGGTGCACCCGGAGCCTCGACAATGGCAGCGAGCTTCACCATCGTAGTTTCGGCCACGACGTTGGTGCGTCTGGGCCCGATCCCTCCCCATCCAGTCCTCCGCGCCAGCGTTGGCATGCAACTCCCGCTATGGTGGAAGTGGTCAGGAGGGGAAAAAACACAGACACAATTAATCGTCGACTCCCTAGAAAAGATGGGGAAATATAGGAAGTGGGGGGGAAGATGAAAACCTAGAAAATATAGGAAAATGTAAGGAATCCTGTTATTTGTGTCTTGTTTTGCGTGTCCCAGGGCCCCTTCAAAGGGGCCCTGAGGGAACCAGGTCCGCAGGTTTTTCGCAGTTTACGGCGTCTCGGAGCCCTCCACGGGCCCCGGGATTGTCAGACAACGATTCAGGATGAAAATTTCATCTTGAGGGTAGTAAGGCCCCCGGATCCAAGACTTGTTTTCCACAGCACGCGTGTGTCCCATGCTATTATGCTTGGGAAGTTGCATTCAGCATCGGCGCTAATACCCGTGGTCAGCAACATAGCTAATCCTGTATACTATTGCTTCATTGCACTCAGTGCGGTTCGATCGGGCTTGATCCTGGGATCATTCTTGGTCCCATCCGGCTCTATGGCCTTTTGAGCGGGCCTAGTAGACCGTCTGCGTTCGGACACCCCCTTCCTTTTCTCGAGCCCCGACAAGATATCCTTCCCGAGGGATTTGCCACTCTAGACCCTGGATCCTTGGTGGATTTGATCGGATATCCGAGCGCCATGCCAATGCACTCGCTTTGGGTAGGATGCGTTTTCCAGGACCTTGAATCGGCGTCTAGCCCCAGGGGTCAGTGAGAGGTACAAAGCCTTCTCAGAAGGTTCAGACGTCCACAAGCCTTCTGAGAAGTGTTCGAAACCTTCCCAGAAAACAAAAAGAAACTTTCTCACAAGGCGCGAGGGCTTCTGAGAAGTCCCACCGCCTTTGAGAAGACCTTCTCCTTCTCACGTCCCCCCCTCGCTCGCCGCAGATTGACAGGTTGACCCCTCGGATCGGATGCCTTGTTGCAGTCGTACGTCCGGTCCCATCCACCAATCGGCCCCTCTCCGCCTCCTCCTCCTCCTCCTCCTCCTCCTCCTCCTCCATCTCCCCCCTCTCCTCCTCCTCCTCCCCCTCCTCCTGCTCCTGCCTCCCCCTCCTCCTCCTCATCCTCCCCCTCCCCCTCCTCCTCCGCCCCTCGGCCCCCCCTCTTACGCCTGAAGGCGCTGCTCCGACCCGACGCGGGCGAGCTGCGCATCCCCCGGTGCTTCTCCTACACGGCAGCGCCGCCCCTGCCAGCGCGCCGCCGCTGCCCCCATCTCCGTCGTCGGCATCACGTTGTTCCCATCGTACTCAATGACCACACCTACTCAAGGATTATATCTCAGAAATAAGTTGGAGCACCCAGAGGAATATCGAAGCAGTGTATGCCTGACACGCTAGCGAAGGGTCCGGCACGAGAAAGCCCTCCACTTTTGGTATTTTCCTGGTGCTCGAAACTCTTTCTTGCGATCAAGGCTAAAGTAGGCCGGAACAGCATAATCCTCACCTCCACTCGTCGCCTCCCTTGTCGTCGTCGTCGCCGCTGATGACGTCGTCGTCGTCGTCTCCGTCGTCGTCGTCGTCGTCGTCGTCCTGCGCCTCCAATGCCTCCGCCTCTACCCCCTGCTCGGTCGTCGGTGTCGTTGTCGGCGTCATTCAGATTCCTCGCCTCCATTATCGTCGCTTCCGTCGTCGTCGGCATCGTCGGTGTCCTCGTCGTCATCGCCGTGCGTTTTCTCTCAACGAAATAGACATTCTGGCGAATGACCCAACCGATTGCTGGTGGGTATCTCTCCTCGGTGGATCTCCTGATGTGGCCTCGGAGAGTGTGAAGGGTGTGCCGAAATGGGGCGGGGCGGCCGGGGCGACGAAGCGCGTGAGGGGTGCGCTGGAATGGGGCGCGGCCGCCGTGCGGGCGCTGCTACGGAGGCTTCCTGGCCTCACGACGCGCGGCATGCGGCCCCTGACATTGGGGCCTTCCGTGGAGCTTCCGACGGGGCCACGAAGAGTGCGAGGGGTGTGCCGAAATATGGGGGCCTTCCGTGGAGCTTCCGACGGGTCCACGAAGAGTGCGAGGGGTGTGCCGGAATATGGGGGGCGGCCACATGTGGTGCACCGCCTTTGGGCTTCAGCTGGAGCCCCCTTTATGGGGCCACGAAACGTGTGAAGGGTGTGCCGAGAGGGGAGGGGCGACCGCACGTGGTACACCCCCTTGGGGCCTTGGGTGGAGTTCCCAATGGGGCCACGACATGTGTGATGGGTGTGCCGGAATGGGTAGGACGGCCGCTTGTGGTACACCCCCTTGGGGCCTTCGGTGGAGTTCCCACTGGGAACACGAAGAATGCAAGTGGTGTGCCGAAAGTGGTGGGGCGGCCGCACGTGGTACACCGCCTTGGGGCTTTTGGGTGGAGCTCCCTGTGGGGCCACGGCTCGTGCGAGGGGTGTGCCGATTTGGTTGACTGATGCGGAGAGAAGAGGTAAAAAAAAGGGGGGGAAGAAGGAAGAGGAGGAGGAGGAGGAGGAGGAGGAGGAGGAGGACGCGGGGCGCTGTCATTTCGAAGCGAGGATCCAACACCACAGGATGGTTGGGAACCGCACGTAGTCTCCAAAGCTGGAGCATGCGGGGGCGTCTCTCGACCGCTTTACAGTAGTTTTTGGCACGGAAGGTTGGGGGGCGGGCTCACATTCCTTTGTGCGCGTAAAGCAACCATCCCTGTCAACAAATTATCTGGACGAAGGGCCCAACCGTATGCAGGTGCGAGTGCCGTCGCTGCGAGTACTGGCTGTGCGGGCGCTGCAACTGGGATTTTAGGTAGACCCCCCAGTTGGGGCGGCGAAGCGTGTGAGGGGTGTGCCAAAGCGGGGCGCGGCCGCCGTGCGGGCGCTGTCTCTGGGGCCTGCGGTGGAGCTCCGCGTGTGCCACGGATCGTGGCATACGGCCCCTGACATTGGGGCCTTCGGTGGAGCTCCCTATGGGGCCACGAGGCGTGTGAGGGGTGTGCCGAGATTGGTGGGGCAGCCGCATGCGGACAGCGAGGGCTCCCTGAGAGCTGCGTCTGGCCGGCGATGACGAGGCCTCGGTGGCCTTATGCAAACCCTACCCCACCACCCCACGATCTCTTCGGGGGGAGACGTGGTTCACTTCGCTCGGGAGGTCCCGTTCGAATTGAACACCCCACCTCCCCCCTGAGAAATCGTGGGGTAGTGGGGAGGGGTTTGCACATGGCGTCCCAGAGGGAGGCGCCCCCACCCCCGGAGACCCAAGCAAAGAGCGCGAGGAGGAGGAGGAGGAGGAGGGGGAGGAGGAGGAGGAATTGGAGGAGGAAAAGGAGGAGGAGGAGGAGGAAGAAGAGGCAGGAGGCAGGAGGAGGAGGAGGAGGAGGAGGAGGAGGAAGAGGAGAGGGAGGTGGAGGAGGAGAGGGAGGAGGAGCATGAGGAGGAGGAGGAGGAGGAGGAGGAGGAGGAGCAGGAGGAGGAGGAGGGGGAGGAGGACAACGGGCGTGCCGTCCGTGGGCCACGCGCCGGGGCGGCATGGACTCCACGCCACTGCGCGGAGCAGGCATGAGTTCGACAGATCGGGGGCCCTGGATGGTTGCGGCGGCGCTGCGCGCGCGCTGTTGGATCTGAGGGCCCAGGGCCCAGGGCCCAGGGCGCCGAGAGTCGGCGGCGAGCGAGGGGGGCAGGAGGAGGAGGAGGAGGAGGAGGAGGAAGAAGAAGACGAATAATAACAATAATAAGAAACATAATAATAATCATACTACGAATAATAAAAATAATAATAATGATATTAGAAGAAGACGAAGAAGAAGAGGAGGAGGAGGAGCAGTAGGAGGAGGAGGAGGAGGGAGGGGAGGAGGAGGAGAAGGAGGAGGAGGAGCAGGAGGAGGAGGAGGAGGAGGAGGAGGAGGAGATGGAGGAGGAGGAGGAGATGGGGAGGGGCAGATTGGTGGATGGGACCGGACGATCGTCTGCAACAAGACATCCGATCCGAGAGGCCAACCTTTCAATTTGTGGCGTGCCATGGGGGGGAAGCGAGAAGGAGAAGGCCTTCTCAGAAGGCGGCGGGACTTGTCAGAAGCCCTCGAGCCTTCTGAGAAGTTCTTGTGGTTTGTCTTCGGGGAGGGCTTAGAACACTTCTCGGAAGGCCGAGGGACATTCGAATTTTCTGAGAAGGCCTTCTCCTTCTCACTTCCCCCCATCGCTCGCCGCTGCGAGAGGGAAAAGGTACACCCACTTTTGGGCCTCTTTCATCCTCTTGGTCCATCTCTCCTCGCGTGGGGCCCTTCACGTCGTCGTCCTCCCATCCCAGTGCTCATGCTGGCTCCACCTGCTCCTCGTCTCTTCCTCTCATATGTCCTCCCCTCTTTTTGTGTCCCTTTTCCTGTTCCCCATTTCCCCTCTCGCCTCATCCGACCGCTTTCATTTCAGGTCATCTGAGTTTTGCTTCCGACAGCCAGTTGAAGCAGGCTCCATGGCCTCCTGGTCGTGCCCCTGCCCTTCCCCTTCCTCTCCTCCTCCTGGGCCCTGCTCGCCCCCTTCTCGTTTGTGTTTCTCCTCTGTCTTCTTATCTCCCTGATCCCTCTTCCTCCTCCGCTTCCCCGCCTCCCTCTGGCGAGGTCTTGGACGCGGCCTCCCCTTCCTCTCTCCTCCTGGGCCCTCGCCGTCCTCCCTGCCTCCCCTCCCTCTCCTGGGCCCGCGGGCTTCCCCGCTTCCCTCCGGCGAGGTCTTGGACGCGGCCTCTCCTCCCTCTCTCCTCCCGGGCCCTCGTCGTCCTCCCTGCCTCCCCTTCCTGCTCCTGGGCCCGCCTGTCGCCGCTGCCGCCGGGGACGCGCAGGTGGACTCCCACGTGGACGGCTGGCGCGTCCGCACGGCGAGCGGGGAGGAGGAGGAGGATCGAGGAGGATCGAGGAGGATCGAGGATCGAGGAGGGTCGAGGAGGATCGAGGAGGATCGAGGATCGAGGACGTGATGATGGTGAGGAGAATGAGGGTCAGGACGAGGATGTGTCACGATGATGATGTTGATGCTGCTGATGCTGATGCTGCTGATGATGACGGTGGTGATGATGATGATGATGTTGACGATGATACTGATGATGCTGACGATGACGATGACGTGATGATGATGACCATCGTCATCGTCATCATCGTCGTCGTTGCATTCTCCACATCTCCTCTGCACAGTATGTCCCTGCCTCTGCTCCGTAATAGCCTCGCAGACTGCCGCCACCCGCCTTGCTGTCACCGTGGGCCTTACCAGAGCTATGTTGGGACGCCTGGGGGTTGTCTTGAAACAACATTGGGATGCCATGCGAGGGAAGTGTCCGATTCACATCTTTGAATTAACAGCTGTGGCAGGATGGTCTCTCGCCGTCTTAGAGCGTTCACCGCATGTTGTGCGTGGGAGACACGTTGAGCTCAATTTGGGGCTGGCCGAGACCATCTTTGGCAGCCTCGCGCTATTGTGGACTAGCGTTGGTTGCCTTGACTTAAGTCGGACATGTCCCTCTCCAGGAGGAATATTCAAAATTTATCGGAAAGTAGTCTGGGGAACGTGTTTCGACTATGTTTGACTATTGTTACATTTGACTAGTTTGCATTTTCCTCCAAAATCCGCCTGAAGGAGGACATGCCCGCCCTAAGCCTTGCCTCCTTCGAAACTCTTGACGATTCGGCCATATAGTCGGGTTCAGGGCCAGAGGATTTTCTGGAAACGGTAAGGTGGGGCAGTCATCGATGATGAACGACCCCCCTAACACCTAATAACATAGTGAGGTCACTTAGGTTCCCGCCTTCGTATGAGGGCGACCAGTCTCAGGGCGGTTCCGCTCGATACATCTGCAGAGCAGACACCCTATCCCTTTTCTGTTTGGCCCTCCGACACCTGGGTCCCCTACAAACGGGTCACTGATTCTTTTTTGCTGAATCAGGTGGGGCGACCGGCTCCCCACCGCACGCACACACGGGTGCAGTAAAGTAGAGGCCTTCTGCCCTAGAGATTGCGCGGCCTCGGGAGCACGAGTCGGACCGTGCTTTGCACAACGGGGTCTCGCTGATCTCGATGCGGGCGCGAAGCTGCTTCAGTTGACAATGGACTCTTGCATCGGGGGCGCAAGCCTGTGTGGAGTCACATACGAGGCGTATGATTCGGGAGGGCGATTTGGTTTAACCTGGCCAGGGGGTTGTGGCTCCTGGGGCGCGAGGGCGACGTCATTGGCAAAACAGGTCCGTGGCCCCAGGATCGCGATCCCGCTGTACTCGACAAAGAGTTGTGGCCCTGAGGGCGAAACTCAGACGTGGTGATTTGGCGTCCGGAGTACGGGTCTGTTGAATCTGCGCCGGGTAGTTGCCTCGGAGGGTGTGGCTTCCGGAGACGATCAAGGGACGTAATCGGACGGGGCTAGGACGAGGACGAACCGTTTCAGAGCGTTCCAGAGCGCTCAACCCGAACATCGAGAAGGCCGCGGCGCCTGAGACATCCTCCAGATCCGGCGGGTCTCAGCGATTCTCGATGTATCTTCACCCGGTGGTATCCTCGTCCTGGCCTCGGCAAGGGGTTGCGGCTTCGGCAGCAGTACAATGGATGGTGATCCCGTGGGCGTGGTGCCTCTGCAATGTTTACAAGGGGCCCCGGGGGCGCGCGCGCGCGCCGCGTAGGGCCCCAGGGGCGCGAGCGTGACGTACAGTCGAGACGCTGAAATGACCGCGACCCCCGGGTAATACATAAATCCTCCCCCCCCCCCTTCTGTAACTGATCATCCCTCCCTCCCTTCTGTAGGGAACGAACAATGACATAAACATAAAAACTCGGAGGTCCGCGCGGATTTCTCGGATCGGCGCGGGGGCCCCTTGGCGTGTCGCGCTCCGCGCGCCAGGAGGGGGGTCCAGTGCCGATCCCAGAAATCCGCGCGGACCTCAGAGTGTTTACGTTAATGTCATCGTTCGTTTCCCGATGAAGACCCGATAGTTTATCATTCCCGGCCAATGCATATTTGGTCGGGGAAGAGGGGCGGCAAGGCCGAATTTCTTCATTCATCGCGGGGGAGAGTTGCACATCGACGTTGCTATCGAGGTGGTTCGCAAGAGGGGTTTCCTAGGGAGGAGCGCCAAGGACCTCCAGAGCATATGCAAGCTTTAAATGCCATATCTCGAGGCGCCAGGCACCATCAGAACGAGGATCTACGGAGACGGCCAGGATCATCACCATCACCAGCATCAGCATCATCAGCATCATTAATATCATCATTTTCATCATCAATCAGCATCAGTATCGTCATCATCATCAGTATCATCAACATCATCAGCATCATCATCATCATCATCATCATCATCAGCATCATCATCATCATCATCTTCATCTTCATCTTCATCCTCATCCTCATCCTCATTCTCATCGTCATCAATATGCTGTGATATCCGGGAAAACGTTAATCACCCCCTGGATTCCGAATTTTCTTATCCCCAGGGGTTCAATATCAGGGAGGGTCGGTTAAGGACCGCTTCGGGTTCGGAAAGGCTTTGATGCTCCTTATGTCCGTTGATGGTTGTTCCTCTAGCCCTCCTCGTGCACGCAGGCGCTTTGGGGGTCAACGAGGGATTTCGTTCTTCCTGTATCGCACCTCATTTAAGCAGCCCGGCTGCATTTGTATCAAATCCGCAACCCGACTGCAATTTGCATTGGGGCTGTGGTTTCGAGGGCGCGACAGCGTTTTAATCGAGGTCTCGGGGGCGCGAGTCTGCAACACCATACAGGAAGACATGTGGCCTCGGGAGTGCGTATTCGTTTAAGTTATGAAGGGATTGCTGTTTCGGGGGCGCGAGGGCGAAGTCATTTGCAAACACATGGTTTTTTCAGGAGGGAAAAAGACACACAGACACAATTCATCCTCGATCTCCCAGAGAATATGGGAAAACATGGGGGATCCTGTCATTTGTGTCTATTTTATCTGTGTGTCCCAGGGCCCCTTCACAAAAACATGCTTTGTGGCCCGGGGAGCGCGCCTTGTTTGCGGTGTCAGCTGCACGGATCTGTTGATGTTGCACCAGATTTTTGCCCAGGGGGTTGTGGCTTCCAGGGGCGCGAAAAGGAACTTATTTTGCCAAGGGGTTGTCATTGTACGATCGAGTGTGGTCTCGGGGCTGCGATTTCGGTTCTGATTTGCAAGGGACTGGAGCCCTGGGAGCGCGCAAGTTTGATTTGTTTGGGAGTGTGGCGTCGGAGGCGCGACCGCGTAGTAATTCACTCGTGGTTTTGCTCTCGAGGGCGCGCCTGTAATGCAAGTTGCCATGGATGGTGGTTTGGGAGCGGGAGCACGTCGCAATTCACGAGTGATTGTTACCTCGGGTGCGAACGTGTGCTGTAATTTACGTGTTCCAGGGTTCCTGGAGATTCAGAAGACGTGACTCCAAGGTGGTAGCGGCCCTCTTTTTTTGCCAGTTGTCTTGCGCGTTCCGCAAATCTTCGAGCGGAGGAGCCTGTAACTGTAGCACCTTCGCGCTGGGCGTGTCCGAGGGTGCACAATAAAGACCCTCGCAGCTTGGTGGCCGCCCGGTCGTCCCCCTTGTCGTTGCGCCTGTCCTCGTGGCAAGCGCTCGGGGTTGCTAGAGGTGCCCCTGGCCCGAGGTGCCCCCAGCTGTTCGTTCAATTCTGGAGCCCCCGGGGGCCCTCGGGGCTTCGCCCGGGGCTCTCTGGAGGCCGTGGGGGCCTCCATGGAAATCCTGGGGGCACCCTGGGCCAAAGGGTACTTCTGTTTGATGCTCGTTGGGGCCCACCTAATGGATCTGTTCGACCCCAGTTCGACTCAAGTCCGACTCAAAATCGCTTCAAGTTCGACTCGGGTTCGACTCGGTGCCGATCCAAGGTCGATTCAGATCGGCGGACGCCCGACGCAGCTCCGACGCACGAGCGGAGCGAGCGGCAGCCAACTTCTGGCAGCACCCGCGCGCTGCCCTGCCGTCGCAGGGGCGGGGCCCGGGAGGGACCTCGCTGCCGCGGCGGGACGCTCTGCTGCTGCCGCGCGCCCGCTGCGCGCCCGCAGCCCGGGAGCCGCGTCGCGCGCCTCCCAGGGCGCAGCGGGGCGGCGGGGCGCGCCGCAGGGCTCCGGGGGGGAAGAAATACCGGGGGCAGGGACAGGGGGGCAACGACGGCAGGGGAGCAACGACTGGGGCGGAAGGAAAAGGAGGAGGAGGAGGAGGAGGAGGAAGCGGAGAGGGGGGCGGGGGGGGGGGAGGGGAGGAGGAGGAGGAGGAGGGAGGAGGAGAGGGAGGGAGGAGGAGGAGGAGGAGGAGGAGGAGGAGGAGGAGGAAGGCGGAGGAGAGGAGGAGGAGGAGGAGGAGGAGGAGGAGGACGGAGGAGGAGGAGGAAGGGGGAGGAGGAGGAGGAGGAGAGAGGGAGAGGAGGAGGAGGAGGAGAGGAGGAGGAGGAGGGAGGACGGACGAGGAGAAGGAGGAGAGGAGGGAGGAGGAGGGAGGAGGAGGAGGAAGAGTGAAGGAAGAGGAGGAGGAGGAGTAGGAGGAGGGGCGGGAGGGAGGAGTGAGGGGGCAGAGGGGGCGGAAGCGGGAGGAGGAGGAGGGGCAGACAGGGGGGGGGGGGGGGGGGGGGCAGCGGCACGGGGGAGGAGGACTCGTTTCCGCTCGGGCCCAGCAGTGATAGCGCGGCAGCGCGGCCGCGGCCCAGCTCTCGAGGGGTCCCCGCGCTGCTCCTGCGGCGCGCCCGCCTCCTCGCCGCGGTGCCGGCGCCGTCGGTGCCGCCGCTGCCCGCCGTGCCGCCGCCGCCCGCCACGGGGGGGCCGCCGCTCCCTGCCGCGGGGGCGCGCAGGCCATGAGCTGCCTGCCCGGGGAGCAGCTCGAGCTGTGGCTCCACGGCATGTCGGAGGGGAGGGTCGGGGCGAGGATGACGAGGAGGACGAGGAGGAGGAGAAGGAGGAGGACGAGGACGAGGATTTAAGTCGGGCATGTTCCTGAGGACTGCTCAAGAATCGTAGATACAAGTAGTCTTGGGGCGATGTTTCGATTTTTGTTTAAACATGTTTGTATAGTTGTTGACTGTTTGCCCGTTTCTTCCAAGACCCGCCTGCACGAGAGCATGTCCGACCTGAGACGAGGACGAGGAAGAGGAGGACGTGTCTCTCCGTTCTGCCTGCACTGAGACATCAGGCGTCTCGCCCCGCCACTGTCGCTGGCCAGCGAGCGAGTCGGGCGCGATGGATGGATCAGGATTGCGCCCCTGGGTACGCTTGAGGAAGAGGAGGAGGACGAGGACGAGGAGGGCGAGATTGGGGAGGAGGGGATCCGGACCCTGCCCTCGCCGATCGGCGGACCAGGAGACTCGATGGGCGGCGGCGGTAGGGTTGAGGACTCGGCGACGTCCAGGAGGCCTGCCACTGCTCGGGCGTCCAATGCCCGTGCATGGTTTGGTTCCGCGCGCTGCCTTCACAAGATTTTCCAGCATGCTCCTCGATGGCCCTCGCCGAGGGAAGACGCCCACGTCCGAGCGATGCCAAGGAGGGGGGGGGGTCCACGAGCGGGGCCGCAGATCCTGGCCAGAGAGCGCGTGCGCGGAGGAGGCCCGGACTCGGCGGCGAGATCTGAATACTGCTCGGGGGTGGACAGAACCCCCAACAGTGACACGTCGACTAGTGAATTGTCCGTTTTCGTTTCTCGAGAGGGCGCCGCGACCGTTATTTTCCAGGCTTGCGCCCGCCAGGTTTGGGCCTCAGGTCGTTTTCACTAAACCACGTTTTACTAAAGGGAGGTCTGTCCATCCCCGAACTGCCCTCGCCGATCAACGACTCAGGGTACTCGATGGGCGGCGGGGGTAAGGTTGGGCATTTGTCCACACGTGGCGGAATCCGAACCCTGGACCCCCCCCCCACCCAACGATTCAGGAAAGTCAATGGTTTGGATGTTGCTAGTCAGGGACATTAGGCTGCACCGGTCGTCGACCTGGACCTCCGACGATGTGACGCCTTCCACAAGCTGTATCATTCCGGGCGTATTTCTTGATATGGACCCCTGGGGCCTGTTCTCGAGCCCAGGGACCACCAGACATGGATCGGGGTTGGAACGCTGTCTCCGGGAGGGGGTCGTTTCCCAGGGCCGCGCAGTGATATAATCACCATCGTCGGACATGTGGATCTATACACGCCCCTGCTGCCGCCTCAAGTTTCGGACGCCAAGGGGTAGGGCTGGACTTTTACCCAAGCCCCTACTCTGGCCTGTCGTCGGGTTTGGGCCCAAGCGCCCGCATTGATATTACATGCTCGTACCCGGGGCGACTCATGGGAGGTTGGATTCAGCAGCGGTCCTGGTATTCAGTCCCAGTTCTCCTCCCCTTTCCCGTCCCTTTCATGTTCTTTCCTCCCACCCCCTCCCCATAGCACGGTGGTTTTTCCTGCCCCTCCTTTATTTGTTCCATCGCTTTAGGTCGTGATGGGCATGCGGTAGTGTTTCGACGCGGTGTTGCCGTCTTGCTCTCGGAGAGGTTAGTTACAGCCCGAGCAAAGGTGGAATCATTTTGCGCGAACGCAGTAGAAGTTGATTGCGTGCAGCTGCATCCCGAACGCGGTGCGAGCTCATCTTGAGCCTGGTGGTGGTGCAGGGCATTCTGCCAGGATGGGCCCACACGGCCCTGCGAGATGGCGGCGACGAGGACGACGACGACGACTACGACCGATGGCGACGACGACGGCGGCGACGACGACGATGACGACGAATCAATGACGACGACGACTGGAAGTCTGAGTCAACATCGACACGCAGGCCTCTCCGGAGGTGCGCTTTGGCAAGGGGTTCGAATGGCGTCAAGCCTTGGCCACGAGAGGCCTGCTGGATGCCAGCGTTCAGTTCCTCGAGCTGCGTCCGGCGTCCAGCCGATGGCGGCATTCTTCTCGCCAGAGACGCCTCAAGACGACGCCGACGCCGCAGACGACGACGAGGACCTGAGCATTTTCTCAGGGTGGAGGGCTGAGGGTGAATTCCATATGGGCTTCTGCACCTCGAACCTCAATCCGTCTGGTGATCCACCCTTTGCAGATTCAAGCCTCGAACATCCATCGAAAAGGCATTTCAGTTTTCACCCTGGGCTCCCCACCCAGGAACTGCTCAGAGGACGTCGACGTGGACGGCCGCCGGTGGCGGCGCGTGCCACCGGGGGGGGGCCAGGACGCAGCGTGCGCCCGTGCGGCCAGTGTTCCGTGGACGTCGCACCTGAGGCCCCCTGGCCGCCCCCCCCGCGCGCGGCCTCCGGCCTCCCGGGGCTTGCCATCTGGGGGGGGCTTGCTAAAGTGTGCGAGGAGGAGGAGGGAGAGGTGGAGGAGCAGGAGGAGGAGGAGGAGGAGGCGGAGGAGGAGGAGGAAGGGGAGGAGTGAGAGAAGGGAGAGGAGCAAGAGGAGGAGGAGGAGGAGGAGGAGGAGGAGGAGGAGGAGGAGGAGAAGGAGGAGGACGAGGTGGAGGCGGAGGAGGAGGGAGAGGGGGGAGAGGAGGAGGTGGAGGGGGAGCAACAGGACAAGGAGGAGGAGGAGGAGGTGGAGGAGCTACCAATGTCTGTACCCTCTTATCGTTTTCGTCTCTTGGGGCCTCCAGGGATGCCCTCGTCGCCACCGCTGGATTCGCCTCGAAGTTCTGGTCAGAACGGATCCCATGAGAGGTCGGGGGAGCAGCGGTATCGGCACGTGGTTTCCCCCAAATGGGGTCCGATCACATGGGGTCGGAGGATCGCGCCGCATCGCGGATACATCGGCAATGTGGCTGGATGTGGAGCCCGATTGACTCTGCGCCGACGGCCCCGATGCACCGCCGACGTCGGCTGCATCGCAAATGCATCGGCGATGCATCGGCGGTAATGCGCGGTTCTCTGGCCCCATTTGCTCGGACCCCATGAGGGAGGCCCCCAGTCCGAAAGGGGGGTTGAGGCCAGTGGGGTGGGAGATGCCATGTCTGGGGAGCGGAAAGCTCCCACGTTTCACTGCGCTCCTTAGCATCTCAGCAAGATCCCCCGACCCCCTCTCTCGTCCGCCCGCGTGCCTCGGGCCAACCTGCTCCCCCCCCCCCTGGCCCCCGCTTGCACCCCGAGGGCTGGGAGGCGGGGAGGAGTCCCGCGGCAGTGTCCTGCCGCGTTGGCGCGGCAGCGTCTCCTGCGCGTCGGCCCACATCGGACATTCGGCGCCGTCGAGCGCAAGGTTTGGCGCTGGCTGCTCCAGCTGTGGGGGGCCACATGCGAACCCTACCCCTACCCCCCCACGATTTCTGAGGGGGAGGTTGGGGTTCACTGCGCTCGAGAGCTCCCGAACGAAGTGAACCCCACCCTCCCCCTCAGAAATCGTGGGGTGTAGGGGTAGGGTTCGCATGTGGCCCCCCAAGCTGTGAGTGAGCTTCCAGACTATACAAACCGCCTGTCTTCCGCGCAGTTCGCTTCCGTAACCACGTGCGTAAAATTCTGCGCCAATGGTTGGCATTGATTATTGCCACTGACTGGTGCGAAGAGAGCTAGATTTGAGACGACCCTCGTCGGTCGCAGGGTCTCGGGTGGTTTCGACAGCTTCCTGTTGATTTCTGGATGCTCTCCTCGGTCTTCGGATGCGCCCGTAGACTTATGAAGGTCTTCACAGGTTCCCTGCGACCTTCGATGGTTTTTAAAGGTTCTTGCATGGCCTCAAAGGTCTTTAAGGTATCTGGGTGTCTCCGAATGCTCTCAGATCTAGTCGAGGTTCTCACCGTACCTTACCCCGACCAACCCTCGGTTCTCCAGAATCGATGGGGGGCGAGGGTGGGGTTCGGATCTAGCCATGTGCTCCGCGAATTCCGAACTGCCCATCAGGCATGCGCCAGGCAAACCCCGCCCATCGAATTCTGAACTGCTCATCAGGCATGCGCCTGCCCTCCCTCCCGCCGCCCATCGAGCTGCCCGAGTCATTGCTCGGTTGATCGGCGAGGGCACGCAGGGTTCTTCGGTAGCAAATCATGGGAGCCTGGTGTACCCCGCTAATTCCGTCTTTAGCAACGATTAGCGTCGATTCGCGTCTGGGAGTCGATGAGATAGCGCCGATTCAGCGTCGGCGAGCTTCGATCCGCGTCAATGCGGTGCCGACTAGCGTCGATTTAGCGTCGATTTCGCATTGACCAGCGTCGAATCGCAAGAGCCGACAAGACGGTATGGGAGGCTCCCACGAGTTGGCCGCCGAAGGAGGAGGAGGAGAAGGAGGAGGAGGAGGAGGAGGAGGAGGAGGAGGAGGAGGAGAAGGGAGCAGGGAGCAGGGAGGAGGGAGCAGGGAGCAGGGAGCAGGGAGCAGGGAGCAGGGAGCAGGGAGCAGAGAGCAGGGAGCAGGGAGGTGGAGGAGGAGGGGGAGGGGGAGGGGGAGGAGGACAAGCTAGGTGCGCTCGCGTCATATCTGACGTCCTACCCCTCCCTCCCATCCCTTACCATGGCGCTGATTTTCTCTATCCGCGGACGCGTGTCGTAGCGGACCTGTGGCTCCGCGCGCGCGTGCGTAGTGGGTGGTGGTGCACATGCGTGCGTGCGTGCGTGTGTGCGTGGTTGTCGTGGTGGTGGTGGTGGTGGTAGTGGTGGTGGTGGTGGTGGTGGTGATGGTGGTGGTGGTGGTGGTGCTGGTGGTGGTGGTGGTGCTGCTGGTGGTGGTGTTGGTACTGGTGCTGGTGCTGGTGGTGGTTGTGGTGGTGGTGGTGGTGGTGGTGGTGGTGGTGGTGGTGGTGGTGGTGGTGGTGGTGGTGGTGGTGGTGGTGGTGGTGGTGCGGCGCGGTGGTGGCGGGCGGATGGGCGCGCGAGAAAAAGGCCCGCGCTGGGGCGAGAACGCCATCCTGAACGACGGAGGCCAAACACCGATCCGAAAATGAGGCCCACGCTGCAGCGGGAGCACGATTCGGAACGATTCGGGAGCAGAAATGAGGCCGGCGCCTCAACGAGAGCAGCATTTTGGGAAAAAATGACGCCGGCGCCTCAGCAAGAGTCGTTTCCCGGGATTTCCCAGGCATCCTGTGTGTAAAAAACAGTACGCGGAGGGTGCGCGGCCATCACCCGGACGCCATCAGGGGAAAAGGGGGAGTATTTTCATATTGAGTAATTGTGAAGAGGAGGAGGAGGAGGAGGAGGAGGAGGAGGAGGAGGAGGAGGAGGAGGAGGAGGAGGAGGAGGAGGAGGAGGCTGCGGAGCGCGCCGCCGAATGCCTGGGCGAAGGCTCGGCGGAGCTGGCGGGCGCCCCCGTGCCCCGAGCGCTGCCTCCGGGGGCGCGGCGCAGTCGCACGCACACCCTGTCGGAGGGAGGAGGAGCGGCGCCAACACCACCAGGGGGGCCACCACCAGCCAGGAGGTCCACGATGTTTCCCCGAGCGAGTGACTGGGGATGTCTCGAGCGAGAGGGGGGGGACCACACCACTGGTGGTGTTGGTGTCGCTTCTCCTCCCGTCGCTCGTCGCTCGTCGCGTCGTGCGCGCGGGCGCGGCTGTGGTGCCGGAACCACACGGCGGGGGGGGGGGCGTCACGTCATACCCCCCCCCGCCCCCCCCCCATGACGCCCGTCATCGCCGAGCATAAAGAAACGCCTTCCAGGGGGCCACCTCCAGCCAGGAGGTCCACGATGCTTCCCCGAGCGAGAGGATGGGGATGGCTCGAGCGAGAGGGGGGGGCCACACCACCAGGGAGACCCCCCTTGCTCTTCGCATCTCCTCGCCCTGGTGGTGTTGGCGTCGCCTTTCCTTGCTCCTACCCTGGGTCGGGGGGGGGGACACAACAACGCTCAGACACAATTCATCGTCGATTCCCTGGAAAAGATGGGGGCAATATGGTCGGAGGTGGACAGAGCCCCCACTCTGACACGTCGATTGGTGAATTTGCCATTTTCGGTACTCGAGAGGGCGCCGCGGCCGTCATTTTCCAGGCCTGCGCCCGCCAGGTTTGGGGCCGAGGTCGTTTTCATTAGACCACGTTTTACTAAAGGGGGCCCTGTCCATCCCCAATATGGGAAGTGGGGGGAAGACGAAAACCCAGAACCTGTGGGAACGCAAGGGGGAGTCCTGAGATCCGTGTGTCATTACTTAGGTGTGTCCCTGGGCCCCCTCACCAGAGGCGGTCCAGAGATCCCTGGAGGGCCTCTCGGCCTCGGCCTCCGACGTTGCCGGCCCTGGCTCTGCCAAGGGCAGGACATCTCGTCCCGTCGCCCGTGCCGTACTTCCCATATATACATATATATATATACACATATATATATATATATGTGTGTGTGTGTGTGTGTGTGAATGTCTTTCTCTGTCCAGGCCTCCCCATTGTGGTCCGAGCAGATGGGGTCGGAGGATCATGCCTCGTCGCCGATGCGTCGGCGATTCGGCGCGATCTTCCGATCCCATCTCATCAGACGACCTCATCTGGAAGGCCTCTCTTCTCCCTCTGTCTGTCTTTCCCCTTCTCTCTTGTTCATTCCTCGCTCTCGTCCTTGCCCCGGCAGCTCCAGACACATCTTGTTTTACCATCCAGCGGAGCCCTGCGGCGGAGGAGCAGGGGAGGGGGAGGGGGTGGAGAGGCAGGGCCGGGCGCGCGGCACGTCACCCGGCTGAGTGCACCGACCTAGTCAGGTGCGCCTGGGCGGGCCCCGGGCAGACACGCACCTGTTGTTGCCATCCGCTGGCCGGGTGGCCGAGGTGGGCACACGTTGCGCAGACGGCCCGACCCGCAGGCAGGGGTGCGCCATGGCGGACCTCCTGATCAGGCAGCTCGGCCCGACCCTGGAGGCCGCAGCCCAGCGGTTTCCCCGGGAAGAGAGGGGAGGAGGAGGAGGAGGAGGAGGAGGAGGAGGAGGAGGAGGAGGAGGAGGAGGAGGAGGAGGAGGAGGAGGAGGAGGAGGAGGAGGAGGAGGAGAGAGGAGGTGGAGGAGGAGGAGGAGGAGGCGGGAAGGGGCGGAGTGAGAGAAGGGAGAGGAGGAGGAGGAGGAGGAGGAGGAGGAGGAGGAGGAGGAGGAGGAGGAGGCGGGGTCGAGTCCCGAGGGCGTGTTGGGACGTTCCTGGGCCTCTCGGCCTTCTGCTCAGGTTGCCCGCCTCCGTCGCTCCTCGACCTCGTCCCCCCAGTGTCTCCGGCTGCCCCGTGGGCATCGCCGCATTCATCGTCATCGTCCTCCTCCTCCTCCTCCTCCTCCGCCTCCTCGCTCCCCCTCCCTCCTCCTTCCTGCTCCTCCTCCTCCTCCTCCTCCTCCTCCTCCTCCTCGCTGCCTTCTCCTCGCCGCCTCCTGCCTTGCTCGCCGAGGGGAGCCTTGTCTTGCTGAGCCTCAGACCCCAGGGGGCGCGAGACAGAGGCTGCCGCCGTCGGCAACCCACTGGCCGCCCGCGCCGCCGAACATCGGCACGAGCTGCTGGTCACTCGGCCCCCGTCCAGTCGTCATCATCCTCCTGCCGAAGGTCCAGGCAGTACATTGCCGTGCTGGTCTTGTGAGGAAAGTTGGGGTATTTCACAGGCGTGCTGGGTTTACGCCGGTGGTGCTGCTGCAGTGCGCCAGTGCACTACCGTCAAGGCTTCGCGTTGCGCACACACGTCGGGGAACAGATCATGGCATGAACATCAACTCCCAGTGTTCCAAGTAGACCGCGCGGACCTCCAACAGTGCATGTGTGTGTCATTGCTTGTTCCCGCAGGGCAGGCCCCCCAGGTGCAGTCGGGGCCCTGAATAAGGAACCCTTTTCGTTGGGGAGGGGCTCCGTGTTCCTTGATTATTTCACAGCTTGCCTTAGGTTTTCCTTAGGTTCTCGATGGGAAATCGAAGGTTAACGTGTGGAAAAAAGGGGCCTCGTTCCTTAGTTAGGGTTCCTTAGGTCAACGCCCCGACTGTAGCCCCGGCTGGCCTCCACAGGCAGCCGAGTGGTTTGGGGCGGTCTCCATCGCCCCACTTGGGAGCGCGGAGCGCCGCCGGGGCGCCGCGGGAGGCGGCGCTGGTGAGGCCAGCCGGGGCGTTGTCGAGGCCAGCCGGGACTACAGTCGGGACCCCGAAGAAGGAACCCTTTTCGTTGGGGAGGGCCTCCGCGTTCCTTAAGTGTTTCGCAGCTTGCCTCAGGTTTTCCTTATGTATTCGATCGGGAATCGAAGTTTAACTTATGGAAAAAAGGGGCCTCGTTCGTGATTTAGGGTTCCTTAGGTCAAGGCCCCGACTGTACCCCGGGGGGGCTGTCTGCTCGGGACGATCGGTCGCCGCGGCGGGTGTCCATTTGAGACGGAGGGCGGCCTGCCCAACAGCGGCGGGACATCATTTCTTGTGGGGCGTTGTGCTCAGTTTTTCCGTATCCATTTTGGGCGTCCACATTTGCGCGCAACCCAGAGCTTTACAAGCCAGGCGAGGGAGCACAGTTCCCATGTGGCAGTGCCTGTCAGACAGCGTAGGCACATCAGGTCTAAGGCGGTTCGGCTTCCTTCCCTCCGTTCCTCTCAGGGTGAGTCGAGGCCTCCCAGTTGGGGTGGGAGTCGATGGGCTCGTGGGATCGCGCCGCATCGCCGATGCGGCTCGATGCGGATCCCGATTTGCTTCACGCCGACGTTGCCGATGCACCGCCGACGTTGACGATGCTTCGCTGGTGCTTTGCTGGTGCATCGCCGATGCATCGGCGATGCGGCGCGATCCTCCGACCCCACCTGGGAGGCCTCTCCAGACTCGGAAGCATTTCTCCTTACGCCACACCAATGCCCCAGAGGCCTCCTTGGGATCATGAGCGCGCCCGGGACCAGGGGCACTTCAAGCAACACCCGACCTTGTTGAGCGTAACCATCCAGCTTTCGCGCCGAAGACCGCTGAACCGCCATAACCTGGCAGAAATTGCCGAAGGCCGTCAGGACCTCGTCGGGATGCCGTCCGGAAGGCCGTCCGAAGACCGCCGACGACGGCCCCGAAGCGATTGGCAACAAGGGGTCCACGGTCGAACGCGCAACATGTAAGACGATCGCATGATTGCCCGGGCGCCGGAGCCACATTCCAAGTTTACCCCCCCGCCGAGTTCTGGGCCGGGACGGCCTTCGGGCCGCGCGGGTGCAGCGCGCGCGTAGCGCGAAGCGCCGCCCGCCCGCGCGCGCGCACACGAGGCTGGCTCGAGAGCCGCCATTCCACCCTAGCTTTTTACACCGTAGTTACCCTCCGTCGTTCGGTCGCAAATCATGGGGGCCTGGTGTACCCTCGCAATTCCGTCTTTAGCGTCGGGTAACGTCTGGAGTCGATGGAATGGCGCCGATCTAGCGTCGGCTGGCGCCGATCAGCGTGGATGTTGCGTCGATCAGCGTCGATTCGCAAGAGCCGACAAGGTGGTATGGGAGGCGCCCATGAGTTGTCACCGAACCGTCGCCTGGCGCCTGTCGGGCAAACGCCAGCCCTCATTCGCCCCCGGCACGGAGCTGTCGTGAGCCTGATGAGGAAGGCCGTCCTGGTCGCCTCCACATGGAGCCTGGCACCGGGCCTCCAGGTCTTGGCTGATGCTACAAACGCGGGGGGCGCTTCCCCCCCCTGATTCAGCTTACCTTTTTTCGGCCAACTGAATGAACAAACACATCAAACGTTGCCTGCACATACCATACGGCGACAGAAGACTCCTAAAATGGGAAAACAAACAGAAACCCAAGCAGAACACATTGCCGATCCTGGAGATGAGGAACATGCCTCCAGCGTTTGTTTGTTCCATCGCCTAAGCTGCAGGTCACCACCCAGGACCCAGGCGAGATCCTGCAGGCCAGCATCCGCAGGCTCGAGAACATGTGGCCCCACGTCGACGGCAGGCGCATGCTGGAGGACATCTTCGGCACGATCCCGAGCCACGACGAGGGCGGCGCCCTGCAGGCGAGGCTGCTGCAGAAGCTCCACGCCCACAAGACCTTCGTTTTCGCGACCTTCGGCTCGTCGGTGTCTGCCGGCCACGACAACATCCGAAGAAGAAAGCACGCATGAACATTCAGTGGAGGCCCATGCCCAGAAACGCCCTGCTTGCCTCCAGGGTGCCCTGGGTTTCTTGGGTTTTGCTGGTTTTGCTGTGGAAGGCGTGACGTTCCGACACCACAAATCGATGGAAGTCCTGGGGTCTCAGGGTTGGATTTATCATGGAAAGCTTCTTGTGGACGGGCCTCCACTGTACGCTTTCGACGGTCCGCTCGGATTTTCTTGCCTCTGCGCTGAATCCCACACCAGCGGCGCCTCCGCGCGCCCAGCAGGGGGGTCCAGCGCAGACCCAAGAATCAGGAGGAGAAATATCAGACACAATGAATCGTCGACACGGGAAAATACCGGAAGTGGGTAATCCTTGTTATTGTGTGTCTGAGGGCCCCTGTAAAGAAATCCGCGCGGACCGCCGAAGGTTAATGTTTATGTCCGTATTGCTTCTTCCGGACATCATGAATCAGAGCTGGCCCTTCGAGCTCGAGCGCCTCCTGAAGCCGACCTTCCAGGACCTGGGCTTCGACATCGAGGTGCGTCAGCGTGCCGCTGGCGGCTACGGGGAAATGCCCTTTGCCGCTGGGTGCCTTGCCAGCCGCGCGGGCGACGGGGTAGACGCCTTGAGCTGGGAGTGGGGCATGTTCAGAGATTCTCCCTGTGAGTGTCACAGCTTCCTCGCCGAAGCGGCCAGGATGAAGAGCAACCCGATGGTGTTCGCGCTTGCTGATTCCAATATCCTTTTCGATACGAACCTCGACTCCAAAGGGGTGAGAGAGTGCATGCAGATCCGGGGAGATGCGCGCAAGGTGGCGCTGAGGAATAGCGATGAGGTATTCGCAGTCCCTCGCGAGTGGAAGCCAAACGAGTGGTACTTGACAGAGGATGCGGGAACCAAATATAATTTCGGATAACTTATTCCCCTCTCCCGTGGACCTCTCCCGGGGTGCGGCCTGACCAGAAGTCCGCGGCGAATCCAGCTGTGGCTGCGATGCCACCCCAGGGAGCCCAAAGACGAGGGCATCGATATGGGTACGCGTGCTGTGTGCTGTCCCCCATGAGAGGATTTCGTCTCGCGCAAAGAGGCCGACAGGGTCGTCAAGGAGTACGGCACATGCGGGAAGGTAGCAGACGGTGCGGAGTTGCGCGGTGTCTCGGACATGACCTGGTTGCAGAGAGCAGGCGCCGGGCGTTGCCAAAGGTGGCCCTGGCCCATGGCGACCCAGGCTTCTCCAGGGGCACTCCGATGGTCCCCAGAGCGCGCCTCGTGAGGCCCAGCAGAGAGCCCAATGGGGGCTCCAGGATGTGGCGAAGAGCTGGGGGCAACGTTGGCCAGGGCCGCCTCTGGTGTCCACCGAGGCGTATCCCCGCCGTGGGAGAGGGCCGGCCACGCCCTGTATCCCAGAAGGCAGGCAGGACAGCTGCAAGAACAGAGCCTTCCGGACGTCCGCGCGGATCTCTCCAGTCGGCCCTGGGCCCCTCTCAGCGAGGCGCCCCCTGGCGCGCGGGTGCGCGCCGCCAGCGGTGCGCATGTGTCGGCGGCGGCGATGGGGGCGGAGAGGCCCCGGGAGGGGGCATTGCACGCAGTCGCCCGGGAGCCTCGCCAAAGGCATGGGCCATCGACGCCCGTGGATGCACGTGTTGTTCTCCCTGGATGCGAAGAGGGGGATGCCGACCCAGGACATCTGCGCGGGCCCCCGAAAGCCTGTGCTTGTGCCGCTGTCTGGTCTTCTGGCCTCCCGTCAACGTCGGCGCCGCCACGAAGCACATGATCGGCCTGCCCTTCTACCAGGAGATTGTTTTTCAAGGGTCCAGCGATGTGGGGGGCAGGAACAGCGTCACCATGACCACCAGGTGGCCACCTCCAGCGAGGAGGCCCACGATGCCACTCCGAGCTGGGGATAGGGGGATGTCCCGAGCGAGAGGGGAACCGCACCACCAGGGGACCCCTCACTGGCTCCTCCCGCTGGTGGCCCCTGGTGTTGTTGGCGGCGTCGGCGTTCCATGTTTCTACGATGAGCAGGGTGATCCGGCCCGCCTGTTCCCCCACTCACCCACCCTTTCAGGCGATCGCAAACATGGATCAAGGGGGCGTGGATCAGCGTCGGGTCCCGTTCCCATGTGACATCGCAGAGTTCCGCCACCAAGCGAGGCGGCACCGGCCGCATCTTGGGGGGGAGGGCACCTCCCCCGATCCATGTTTGCGCGCCCCCGAGTGATCCGTCCCGCCTGCTGCTCCTCCTCCTCCACTAGTATGCAGACGATAGGTCGCACATAGTTGAATCTCGCTCGCGTCTCACGCTATGTGGTCCTCCTGGCAGACGAGACATTCGGCCCGATATCGCTTCGCCGCCGCCTCCTCCTCTTCCTCCTCCCCCTCCTCCTCCTCCTTCTCCTTCTCCTCCTCCTCCTCCTCCTCTTCCTCTCCCCTCCTCCTCCTCTCCTCCTCCTCCTCCTCCTCCTCCTCCTCCTCCTCCTCCTCCTCCTCCTCCGCCCCCCACCTCTTTCCACTCTATAGACTGCCCTCTGCCTTCTTTCGCAGCAGGTTCAGAGGGGGGGGGGTGCGCGCACTCTGCTGGTGAGCGCGGGCCTGCGTAGGGCTGCCCACAGCCAAAGGGGGGCTCGGGCTGTTGGCGGGCACGTTGTCTCCCCTCCAGCACTACCAGTTTGAAGCATGTCCCTGTCCCCGTGTTTGGCGTCCCCCCTCTGTCTCGGTGCCGATATTGAGGGTTCCCTCGGTTTCTGTTGGCACATCCCTGGAGATTATCCTCGCTTCGTGCTCGCCCATCCTAGGGATAGGGATAAGTTCGAGGCTGGCTATGCCACCGTGTCACCCGGGCCGTTTCCGAGCAAGCAGGACAAAACACACGACCAACCGAAGGAGAATAAACGCCATAAACATAAACTTTCTGGCGCGCCGCACGGATCTCCCCACGAGTTCCCAGAAATGCCCCCCGCGAACACGCAGGCAATTCTAGACGCTTCGCGTATCCCCACCAGCCCGTCCAGAAACGACGCCCAGGCGAGTAGAGAGTCGTCCTGAGGGGCTTTTCGGCGTCTTGGGTGTCTCGGGGGGGCCTCTGTGGGCCGTTCGGGATCCTCTTTGGGGCCTCCTGGGGGCCTCTTGGGGCCTCTTGGGGCCATCTTGGGGCCTTTGGGGGCCTCCTGGGCGCTTCTTGGGGCCATCTTTGCCCCCTCAGGAGGCCAGAATGGGGCCAACATCTCAGTAACATCAATGATTTTGGCTTCCTCGCCGAGGCCGTTTTGGACGCTCTGACCGCTCGCGCTCCCCCCCGTCCAGGTCCACGGGGAGGGGGTAGGGGGAGGGGTAAACCCCTCCCCGAAGGGAAAGAGGGAGGGGTGGAAGAGGAAACGCCTTAAACCACCGACGCCCAGAGGGCTGGTGGGATTGCCTCGATCAGGGAAGTGGACAGCACACAGAGGAAGCCAGTATGAGACATCTTGGGATTTCTTGAGCCATCTTGGAGGTCATTTTGGGTTCTCCGAGGCGCTGTTGGAGTCATCTTAATCAGTGCCCCCCCCAAGAGGCCAACATGTGGCTAAAACCTAAGTGCAAACAATGGTTTGACATTATCGCCGAGGCCTCTGGGAGCACCTTGGGTGCCTCTGGGGGGTCTCTTGGGGCCTCTTGGGGGTCTCTTGGGGGCCTCCTGGGGGCCGCTTGGGGGGCCTCTTGGGGCCATCTTGGGGCCATCCTGCTGCCTCTTGGGGCATCCTGGGGGCCTCTTGCGGCCATCGTGGACGAACTCGATCAAAGAAGAGGGGAGCTTTAATTAGCGCTGCCCCCTCTGAAGGCCAAAATGGGGCCCAAACCATAGTAACATCAATGATTTTGGCTTCCTCGCCGAGGCCGTTTTGTACGCTCTGACCGCTCGCGGCCCCCCCCCGTCCAGGTCAGTGGGGAGGGGGTAGGGGGAGGGGTAAACCGCTCCCCGAAGGGGAAGAGGGAGGGGTGGAAGAGGAAACGCCCTAAACCACCGACGCCCAGAGGGCTGGTGGGATTACGAACGATACTACAGAATGGGCTGGCGGAGTGGGCGACGCGCTGGAAAGATACAACGAGGATGCGCCGACGATGCTTGAGCGCACACTTCCGTCGCACGCCGTCCTCCCGTCAGCAAGCACCCTGCAAGTACCGCAGATCCTGAAGTCCGCGCGGAGCGCCAACACTTCATGTTTATGTAGAAAACAAAATCCCAACCCTTTTTAGACACGTGGCGTTTATACTCAGGACCACTCAATGTTGACTGGCATTCTGAAGAACCCGCAGTGCGCAAGACGAGCACTCAGGAGTGAAATCAGAAAAGAGCATCCAGAAGGGGAACAGCAAACATACAAAATGGAAACACAAGGGCGTCGAAAGAAACGCAAAAGCGGGGGGGGGGCGGCGAGGGCCAAACCAGAACATCGGTTTTTCAGCACGCGCTGCGCTGAAAGAGTCACATTCATGAGGTGCATACCGGGGGCGGAGACTCACCCAACAGTGGAGACAAAAAGGGCGCGGCAGCGAATCCAGAGAAACGAATCCAAGAGTGGAAGTAAACAGTCGCGGCCTCGAAGGTAAGCAGGAGCACCCAGTCACCGCGTGGGAGTTTCCCCCGCTGGGCCTCCCAGGAGCCCGCGAAAGCGGCGACAGCTGCGCAGATCGCAAGCCCCCCAGGGGGCGGCGAGGGACCGAGGTGGTCCGCGTGGGACGTACCTCCGCTGGGCCTCCGAGGAGCCCACGAAAGTGGCGACAGTTGCGGAGATCGCCAGCCCCCCAGGGGGCGGCGAGGTACCGAGGTGGGCCGCGTGGGACGTACCTCCGCTGGGCCCCCCAGTTGCCCACGGAAGTGGAGACAGCTGCGCAGATCGCAAGCCCCCCAGGGGGCGCGGCGAGGTACCGAGGTGGTCCGCGTGGGACGTGCCTCCGCTGTGCCTCCCATGAGCCCACGAAATTGGCGACAGTTGCGCAGATCGCAAGCTCCCCAGGGGGCGGCGAGGTCCCGAGGTGGTCCGCGTGGGACGTACCTCCGCTGGGCCTCCCAGGAGCCCACGAAAGTGGAGACAGCTGCGCAGATCGCAAGCCCCACAGGGGGGCGGCGAGGTCCCGAGGTGGTCCGCGTGGGACGTACCTCCGCTGGGCCTCCCAGGAGCCCACGAACGTGGCGACAGTTGCGGAGATCGCAAGCCCCCCAGGGGGGCGGCGAGGGACCGAGGTGGTCCGCGTGGGACGTACCTCCGCTGGGCCTCCCAGGAGCCCACGAAAGTGGCGACAGTTGCGCAGATCGCAAGCTCCCCAGGGGGCGCGGCGAGGTCCCGAGGTGGTCCGCGTGGGACGTACCTCCGCTGGGCCTCCCAGGAGCCCACGAACGTGGCGACAGTTGCGCAGATCGCAAGCCCCCCAGAGCGCGGCGAGGTCCAAGGTGGTCCGCGTGGGACGTACCTCCGCTGGGCCTCCCAGGAGCCCACGAACGTGGCGACAGTTACGCAGATCGCAAGCCCCCAGACGGCGGCGAGGTCCCGAGGTGGTCCCGTATGGGACGTACTTCCGCTGGGCCTCCCAGGAGCCCACGAAAGTGGAGACAGTTGAGCAGATCGCAAGCCCCCGAGGGGGGCGGCGAGGTCCCGAGGCGGTCCGCGTGGGACGTACCTCCGCTGGGCCCCCCAGTAGCCCACGGAAGTGGCGACAGTTGCGCAGATCGCAAGCCCCCCCAGGGGGCGGCGAGGTCCCGAGGTGGTCCGCGTGGGACGTACCTCCGCTGGGCCTCCCAGGAGCCCACGAACGTGGCGACAGTTACGCAGATCGCAAGCCCCCCAGACGGCGGCGAGGTCCCGAGGTGGTCCGCGTGGGACGTACTTCCGCTGGGCCTCCCAGGAGCCCACGAAAGTGGAGACAGTTGAGCAGATCGCAAGCCCCCGAGGGGGGCGGCGAGGTCCCGAGGTGGTCCGCGTGGTACGTACCTCCGCTGGGCCTCCCAGGAGCCCATATAAGTCTCGACAGTTGCGCAGCCCGACGGCACGTCAGAAGAGGAGAGGGGAACACAGGAAACAGGAGAGAAGGAGGAGGGGAGGAGAGGGGAGGCGGAGGAAGGAGGAAGGACTGGGCGACCACGCTGCTCGATTCAAAACGAGAACCCAACACAGGAGGGTTGGGAAACAACAGCTCGACCTCCAGGCCCGCGAGAAGGCGCTCAACGTGAACTGGCACCCGGGCCCGCTGGGCCACACCCTGATCGCCTCGTCCGTGGCGCGCTTCGTCCTCGCCAACCTCCAGCGCGCCCTCTCCGGCGAGAGGCGGCGCGCGGCGCGTCAGCGGCACCGTAATTCAGAGGAGGAAAAGGTACCCATACCCCCCACCCCTGCCTCGCTTTCCCCTTTTTGGGCATCCTGGGCCGCTGTGGTCGCCACCGCTGGATTCGCCTCGAAATCCGGGTCAGAACGCACTCCGGGAGAGCTTCGGGGAGTAGCGGTATGGGCACCTTTTGGTTTCCCCAGTAACGGGTGCTCGATAACAGGTTTTTGTTTATGGGAACATGGCCGAAACTTGCCGCCTACGGGCCGCTTTCTTTAGCATGGCAGCGCGCTGCTTGCCCACATCGTAGAGGACCGGATCCGTGTCAGGTCACTCATTGGCCAAAGCACTCGTTAGTGGAGTCCCCGTGAGAGGGGCGCTGAGCGCGCGGCAAGGGGGGAAGGGGGGGCGCGGGGAGGGGGGACTGGCGGCGGTCAGCGTAGAGGCCTTGAGGGGGCCTCGTCGGAAGGGGGCCAGGGTTCTACAGGCGGGGTTTTGGGTTGACTGCTTGTGCTTCAGTGTGGTCTGCGAAGGCCTCTTAGTCATGGAGGGTCGGAGCACCCCCAGCCCGAGTAACACGATGAACACGTAGCCTCACTGAGATCCCCGTCTGTGCATCAGGGGATTTTATCTGGGCGGTTTGCTGGAATACATCTGCAGAAAAGACTATCCCTAATGCCTTTGGCCTTCCTAATGCAGGTCCTCTCCCACAGGTAAGGGATACTTTGATTGCTGACCACTTACGGCCGACGCCTTCGACCCTGAAGGGGACGACGACGGCGGCGGAGGCGACGCCGACATCGACGCCGACGCTCTGGAGAAGACCAGGTGTCTTTAAGAAGGTGGTGGGTTGGTTGCTTTGTTGTTTGCTTCTGTTTTGCAGGGGGTCCCGGGCGGCGAACAGAGTCGCACCCGCGCCATCGCGGTCCAGATTCTTGAGCGCGACCCCGCGGATGAGCGGTCGCATGGAAACGCTCCGCACGGGGCATCCGCGCACAGAAGAACGCCCGGTGCCTGCGAGGCTGGGGCCCAGTGGCCAGGCCCGCGAGGCCGCGGACACGCAGATGGCTTTCACCCACCCGGAGTCATCGGAGAAGGCTTTTGCTCAGAGCGTGAATTACCTACCCCGCTTTCGCTTCCAGGCAACACCAAGTCATACCACGCGCCTCCTTGTCAAGCGGCCTGACCAGTACAGGCCGTAGTTTGGCCTCGTTTGGTATCTCTTGGAAGCGAGGGTGGTCAAAAGCGAGGTAGGTTTGTTTTCCCCCTATTTGCTCTGCTCCCCACGCCGGCCACGGAATCAGGGACTCCTGGGCCGCCCCCGGGGCCCGCGTGGGCGCCGCGCTGCGCTATAGGGGGAGCAGGCAGGTGCTGCCCTGGCCAGGGTCGGGGGAGGGTGTCCGAGAGAGGCCCTCCTGCCCTCGCCGGAGGCACCCATCCTGGCATGGGCAGCATCTTTCGGAGGTGCCCGCGGTTTTCTTGGAACGGCGCTGGAAATGTCTAGGCGTCCTAGATAGGTTCGGAGTACATGGCGTCGGAGGGTCGCGTCGCATCGCCGATGCGTCGACGATGCGGCTCGATGCGGAGCCCGATTTGCTTCACGACGACGTCGCCGATGCATCACCAGCGTCGCTGGTGCATCGCCGATGCATGGCCGATGCATCGGAGATGCATTGGCGGTGCATTGGCGGTGCATTGGCGATGCTGTGCGATACTCCGACCCCATCTGCTCGGACCCCATCTAGGAGGCCTCTGAGATTCCTATCCCTGGCGGTGCCTCCGGCGCCGCCCTTGCCGCGCTCCGCGCGCAAAGAATTCAGCGAGGACCCTTCGCAAGTTTGCGTGAGGGCCATTCTTTCTTCCTCTACTCGCCTACAGCCAAAGGGCTGGGCTGAAAGGAGGCGCCCTGGTTTGGGGGGCGTTCCTCAGATCTGGGTCTGGGGTTCGCTTCCAAAGGCCGTGGCCAGCCGAGACCAGAAGAGCTCTTTCGTCCTGTTTCCCTACCTAGGCTCTGCCTAGAAGGGTTCTTACCCTCTAGCTTAAAGGGGCCGGGCCGTGGATATCGCCCCGGGCGGTTCCCCCAGGATCCGCCCCGCGGTTCCCCCAGTTGCGTCCCCTTAGCTTAACGTTACTTATCCCATCTTAGCTTAGCCTTTTTTTATCTTAGCTTAGCTTAGCTGGATCTTAGCTCAGGTTTATCTTAGCTTAGCTTGCCATCATCTTAGCTTCGCCGAGCTTTAGCAGAGCAGAGCACAGCATAGCATAGCAGAGCGTAGCATAGCATAGCACAGCACAGCATATCATAGCATAGCGCAGCATAGCATAGCATAGCGCAGCATAGCATAGCATAGCATAGCATAGCATAGCGCAGCACAGCACAGCATCGCACCGCGCAGCATAGCATAGCAGAGCATAACATAGCAGAGCATAGCATAGCATCGCATAGCGCAGCATAGCATTGCATATCATAGCATAGCATAGCAACTAATGCTGCTTTCCTAGGGGCTCCAACTTCTAGGTAGGGTCGCACTGGGGTCATTATATTCCCACTGTCGAAGAAGAAATAAGTATCTTAATAAGCGTACAGGTTCGACGGTCCGCGCGGACTTCCATGATATGCGCTGGCCCCCATGTCTTACTCGATGATGGTAGCACGATGGCCGCATAGGTCCCCCCCCTTCCCTCCGCCCCGCCCACCCTCACCCTTCGCCGCGTGCCGCAGACGAGGCAGAGGACCAAGGGGCCCTCGGACGACAACCCCCTGGTCGGCAAGCCCATCGCAGGGGCAACGTCAGGGGGATTCGGCTCAGGGGGGGAACGCATCGACCCCCGATCTCAAATTCACCGCCGATATTGGGGGAACAATCCATGACATACGCATGCAAGCTCGAAGGTCCGCTCGGATTTCTCGGTTCGTCGCTGGACCCCCTTCCTCGGCGCCCCAGCGCCGATCCGAGGAATCCGCGCGGACCTCCAAGTTTTTGTGTTCACGTTACTGCTGTTCCCATAGATATGGGGCCCGATGACCCGGGCGGATTCGCTATCGGAGGCCTGTCGCCGATTTGTCGGCGAAGCATGGCCGATTCCAGCTCGATGTCCCCCCCACATCCTGAGCCAGGTTTTCGGGTCATAGTTCGGGCCTTTGGCGACCGTTCGGGACGATCCTGACACCCCCAGAGCGCTCCCGGCGAGGCGTAGCCGATTGAAAGCACCCCGAGGCTGGAGAGCCGCCGAGAACCAGCGAAAACGCTGGAACGAACCTTGAACCTCGAGCCCCATTCCCTCTGCCGTTGCGCCTCGCCATCATCGGCGAGCTCGGCGAGCCGCAGTGCGGGAGCCTCCGGCCAGCGCAGTGCCGCACCGGGATGCTGCCCACCTCCAAGGTCCGGCTGCACGTCAGAGCGACCCTCTGCCAGAGTGGCCTCTGGTGCTGGCGCACGAGTGCGATCCGACGGCGCGGCTCGCGCGCCCAGATGGGGCCCCCAGAAGCCGCGCACCAAGGGCCACTCCTGCCTGCAGGGTCACTCTCGCGTGTGCGGCGGGTTTGCATCGCGTCGGCTCGCCGCGACCGCGACCCCGGCGTGAGCGTTCCAGGTTTAGCGCCGCCAGCGAACCGGCCGCGGCCACGATGGAACGATCTGGAGATCGGGAATCCGTCGATCGTCCAAGGCTGGAAGATGCACGCGCCCATGCGGTGCGAGAAAGCAAGGGTTCGGATGCAACTCCTGGGAGGTCAAATTCTGGCCCTGCTCCGAAATCCGGCTTAATCCCGCTCAATCCCGCTTAATCTGGCTTAATCCCGCTTGATCCGAGGCCCATTCTGGCTTAACAGCCCCCCAATGGGGCTTAATCCTCAATCCTTCCGACGAAAACCTCCCAGTGGTTGCCTCCTAACCCATGCTGGGATCGTCGCTGCACGAGCCCTCCGATCTCCCGGGTTCCCGACCCCGTCCCAGCGGGTATAGCTCTGCGTCCCGGGTCAATTCTCTTGATGATCTGTGGTGGGCCCAGTGGCGCCCTCTGGAGGCCGCAATCGAGGAAATTCGCCCGGACTGGAAACATCATTCCAAGAAGAACAAAGCCACATACCCATCGGTCGTTGAAAGTCGGTATTTCATGGAGTCCCAGATTCCAATCTACTTTCAGCGCCTTCCTACTTCAATGATCAAGGGGCTTCACCTTCTCCGTCCTCCTGAGGGAGTGGGCGGACACCCAATCTACTTTCAACGCCTTCCCACTTCATATTTCTACCTACTTCGTCCGACCGATTTGGTAAACTTGTTGGCGCTCGGGGCGGATTTCCTCGATCCGCGCCTGGGCTCCCGGGCGGCGCCTCCGGCGCCGCCGCCCCTGGCGCGTTCCGCGCGCCAGGGAGGGCGCTCCAGCGCGAATCGAAGAAATCCGCGCGGAGCGCCAAGGTTTATGTTTTGTTTTTTTGGTGTTCCTCTTCTTATCATCTCGTTTGGGCCGCGATGCATGGGGGTGGGGCGGGCGACACAGGGGAGGGCAGCGAGGGCTGCAGAAAAGGGGCCCTCTTCAGGGCCCCCAAAGGGGACCCTTGAGGGTCCCATAGGAGGCCTTGAGGGCCCGGAAAAAGGGCACCTTTCTCCCCCCCTCATTCATCGCCCCCCGTATTACTCGCGCAGAGCATTCGCCCGGATTGAAAACATCGCATCGTCGGAGATTTGGGAACCTGCCGTCGCCGACGAGGGCACCCAGCTGAGCAGCGCCAGGGACGCCGGCTCTCGGGACACCTGGCAGCTGGTGGTGTCCCGGCAAGCCGCGGAAGGGCGCACGGAGACCGCCGCGAGAGAGAGAGGGGGTGGCCCTTTCTCACCGAGCGCGTTCCACTAACTCGCAAAGTGCCTACTCGCAAACGTCCGAAAAACAATCACATGTCTGCTTTGATGTAACTTGTCGTAGGTGCCCCGCGGGTGATCCAGGCCGTTTGCAAGTAGTTACTTTGCGAGTAGCGGAACGCGTTCGTCTACCTTCCTTGAGGGCTTGAAGACTCTGCGCCGATCGATAGTCGGGTTGACCCCAAAAGGGGGTCCAGCGACAAGGGGGTGGTGCAATAGATTCGGTGCAATAGATTTGTGGGGTTGCAAATGATTCGGGGCGTGCAATACATTCCGGTTCGCAATCGTATTGCTTGGCTTCCGCGTGCAATACTTTAGCTGCAATACAATGAAATACAAGTCTCTGGCGCAATACATTTGCAATCTAATTATCCCAACCTATTGCATCACCCCTTTTCAGCTCGACCTCCTTTCGTATCAACCAAAGACAGGGTTCCAAGATGGAACATTGCCATAAACATAAACGTTCGGCGCTCCGCACGGATGTCTTGGATCTGCGCCTGGGATCCCCCTGCCGCCCCTGGCGCGCGGAGATTCAGCGCAGATGCAATAAATCCGCGCGGACCGCCAACAGTTTATGTTTATGATGTTTTTTTTAGTGAGGGTGGGTTGGGCACAGCGAGCCGTTTTTACAAAACCCAGGCGGTGTTACGACGCCGACTTCCCTCCTTCTCCTCCTGGCCTGCCTCCTCCTCCATTACCTCCTCCCCCTCCTCCTCGTTTGCCTCCTCCTCCTCCTTCTCCTCCTCCTCCTATTCCTCCTCCTCCTCCTTCTGCACTTCCTCCTCCTCCTCCTCCTCGCTCCTCTTCTCCCTCCTCCTCCTCCTCCTCCTTCTCCTCATCCCCCTCCTCAGCCCTCTCCTCCTCCTCCTCCTCCTGCTCCTCCCCCTCCTCGTCTCGGGGAAACGTATGAGGCTCGAGTGCGCCGGAGCTGGGGTTTGCCGGCTCTTCTTGACCAGCCTCGGGGGCAACGATAGAGGGGGATAGGCATAGAGGGGAGCAAATGCGTGGACCCCCAATCGCACATTCATCGCCGATAGGGCCCCGATAGCCCCCACCCGCCCAGGAAGGTGCGGATTCACTATCGGGGACGTTTGGTCGATCTGTCGGCCATGTATCGCCGATTCCAACTCGATGCATCTCCTCCATGCCAATCACCCCCCCATCGTTGCCGCTCAGACTTGTAGGCATCCAGACGGGTAAATCAAGTGAGATGTAGAAACATCGCGGTACATCCAGGTAGATCTTGGTACATCCTAGCAGCCCAAGTAAATCCAAAGAGATCTTCATGGGCACTTCGAGCCAAACGTGGCCGTTCCAGCTCGGTTCGAGGAACGGCAGAAGTCGAGCTAGATCAGTAGGGTAGGGTCGGCCGGGTGTTCGAGTGTGGATATTTTCATGCGTTTTCGTTTGGTCTCGGCGACTTTCTGACCTCGGGATGCTTTCCAGCGGCTGCGCCTCGCCGAGCGCGTTCTGGGGATACCCGGATCGTTCCGAACGGCCGCCGGAGGCCTGAGTTTTGGCTCGAAAGCCGCTGCGTCAGAGAAGAAAGTTCCGATACCGCTGTTCTTGGGTTGTTTTCGCCTCTTTGGGCCTCCTGGGAAGCCCTCGTCGCTATGTGGTCAGGAGGCACCCCTGTGGAGCAGCGGTATCGCTACCTTGTCTGATGATCCTCAGGACGCGTGTTGGCCCAAGCGTGGGTTCATCCACTTCGGCTCCGCCGAAGGCGCGCAGCCTCTGCTGGCCCCCCTTGCACCGCCTGCGTCGTCTTGAAGCTTCGGATGCAACTCCTGGGAGGTCAAGTTCTGGTTTTGCCCTGGTCCGAAGTCCGGCTTAATCCCGTTTAATTTGGCTTAATCCCGCTTAGTCCCGCTTAGTCCGCCTTAACCTTAATCCGAGACCCACTCTGGTTTAACAGCCCCCCAATGGGGCCTAATCATCCTTAATCCTCCCGACGAAAACCTCCCAGTAGTTGCCTCCTAATGGCGGGGTTGGGTGACCAAGCACACGGTGGCGCAAGCACACGTTCTGAGGATGATCGACCGCCACTGCATCGCTCATGCGCCAGCGCTGCGGCGCGGTGCTTCGACCCCATCCACACGGACCCCACTCGTCTTAGCATCGCTCGGACATGTGACGTCAATTTTTGTTCGGCGAGGACCCTCGAGGAGCCTTGGGCCATCCTGCGGGAAAATGCACGCACGAAGCCGAACAATGCGCGGGGAATGGACGTCCAAGCGATGGCGAGCCAGGAGGTCTCCTCCTGTTCCTCCTCGTCCTTCCTCTCCTCCTCCTCTTCCTCCTCGTCCTCCTCTTCCTCCTCCTCCTCGGGGGGGCCCCTCTGGCTGCACCGACGCCCTCGCGCTCTCGCACAAAGGAGAGTCCATGGCGGTTCGCCTTGGATGGCTCTCGGTGCCCCAGGGGTCCTCACGGGGCCACTTCCAGATGAAGGGGGCGGTCTCGGGAAAGGGTCCAGAGCTCTCGGGAGCCACGCTGTTGGACAACCATATATACATAAATATTTCATGTACGCGCCGGTCGTTGGAGTAGGTATTGTTGGACTCCCCGATCCCAGTCTATTTCAAGTGCCTTCCTCGTTCAGTAATACATATAATTTCGCTGCGTGTTGGCATTATCCTGGGAGGGTCTGAACCCAATCTACGTTATTCGCCCTTTACCTCATGTTTCTACCTACTTCTTCCGACCGACGTGGAAGGGTGGTCGAAGGGTGGTTCGCGGTTTTGTGTCGCGGGTGGATCGGGCGAGGACGACGACGACAAGCCACAACAACAACAACAACAACACTAATAGCAGCAAGAACAGCAATACCAATCACAACAACTACAGCCACAACAACCCCACCACCAACAACAACAACCACACCAACAGTCCGGACCGCGGAGCCCCACTTCAGCAACGTGCCCAGGGACTGTGGACGTCCGTTCGGCCCCTTCACTCGAATCTGCACACTTTTTGGTCTGCGGGTCGGGAGCGGGCCCCTTCCGGTCAAGAGCTAAACGGGACGCGGGTAGCCCTAATTAGGGAGACAGGGCGCGGGCGGGCGCCTCGAATCTGCACACACATCAGTATATTAAATAGATCCGTGATTTTTAGAGTTACGTATACTCACATTTATAGAAGTCAGTTCCAGGTGTTACTTATTCAGGTCGGTGGCGAAGCCCGAACCCGACCCTTGCCGATCCACGGTTCAGGCAACTCCATGGGCGGCGTGGGTAGGTCTCGGAATTCGTCGAACATGTTGCGAAATTCGAACCTAATTATCCGCGAAGGGTCTACGAACCGCGAAGGGTCTAATCAGGCCGCCGCGGGAGAATCCTTATTTTCCAATCGTGTTTGGGGTCCCCACTCCATCAACAAGCCCTCGAATCAAAGAACCAATGTCCCGTTATTGGGGGGGGGGTCTTGAATGAAGGGAGGAAAACGACGCGGGCCCGACAAATGACGTTTATTGAAGTGTTATGGACGGTTACTAAATAGCCCTTCCCGTTCGATGTCTTCCTTGTGCGCGTTTACTAAACGACTTCGTTTGTCGAGGTGATTACTATAGGGAGTGGATTTGTTGCCCTCTATTAACGGCCCTTCGCGGTTACAGGCATACCGAGAGTTGGTTAGGGGCTAAGGGTTGGGATGTGGCCCGCCCGTTTGTTGTCTCCTTCGGGGCAGCGCCTTCGGAGGAGCCAGGGGTCACAGTGCTGATTGGCCCCACAATTCCCAGGATTCCCTACGGCCGAGACGCTGAACTAGGAAGAGGTTGGGTTCGGAAGGGGCGCGAAGGTTCCTCAGGTTCTTCCATGGCTGTTTCTCTGGCGCTCCTCGTCCACGCAGGCGCACTTGGGGCAAAGAGAGGGCTTCGTTCCATGTTTCGTGCGCCTTATCTTTGCAGCCCGATGGTAGATGTCCTAATGTTCCGCACGGGCTGCAGACATGAGGGCCGCTAGATACTTTGGAAACCCTGGAACGTGTCTTGGTCCAATCGTATCATAGCATCACTCTCGTCCTACTTCTCCCTCGTGCCAGAGGAGACCGTGGACACGCGTATGGCCTACAGGGGCACCAGGGCTGACGGGGAGCTGAAGCTCAGCTTCCAGGCGGACAGCGACGGCCAGTACGTGCTGCTCTGCGGGGCCCCCTGCAGCTGGTGGTGCAACGGCAACGCCGGCTTCGTGTCCTCGAAGTCGCAGCGCTGGTGGCCCAAGGACGGGCCCGAGCGTAAGAACGTGAGCGACTTGACATTCTCCATCGACGGCCGCGACATCTCCGGCGGCGAGCTGACCAGGCTGCACGACGAGATGTTCCACCAGGAGACTGGTAAGTTCTGCCCAGGGTGCAAGAACCCAATGGACCTCTGCCAGCCGGTGGCCAAGGTGGCCAAGGGCAGGCACACGGTCGGGGCAAGGGTTGAGCCCCGCACCAGGGCCGCGATCGCCCCAGCCGATGTCCCGCACATGCAGGAGGGTGAGGAGATGTTCGTCGAAATATTGGAGATGTTGGTGGTGGGGTGACCGGACGGCCACCTGTGGAACATGCTGTACCTTTGTGTCTGCTCCGTCTCTCGTTCCACCCCGCAGCAGGCATCGCTACGCCACCACCACCACGCTGGATCAGAGACATCCAGGGCCCCAAGATAGTATAGAGACCCTCCTGGCCTCGCCACGAGGCCGCAGTTGTACACCACCCGCGAGGGCCAAGAGATGGCCATGGCCGGGCCTGGTCGTGGTGCACACGTGCCTCCTGCAGATTCCAAGCGCGCGCCAGCTGCAGACAAGCTCAAGGCAAGCTGGCCGACCCCCGCTTCCAAACAAAAGCGAGCAGCATGAGTCGGGGATCGTTCTCTTATTCATTGTTTTGCCGATCGGCGCGGGCCCTCGCCCCCCCCCATGGAGTAGACCTTGGCTGTTTGTGGCGCCTGTTTCGAGCAGGCGGAGTCTCCCCCACATGATTTGTGCCGCGAACACAATTATGCAGATGTCCAGAGCCAGCCCCCCTTCCCTCCCCCCCTTCCCCCTTCCGACCCTTTCACTTGGCGGGAGCCAGCTACCGCTGTTCAGTCTCGTCCGTCAATCCGCTTCATCCGTATCACCAGAGAGTGATTGCACCGACGGGGTTCTTGCTTATACCCTTCAGTGCTCAGTGCCCGGTCGGTTGCTCTTTGGGGCTTCTTTTTGGAACCAGCTGGGCCCCAAAAGAGGCCCAGCAGGGCCCCTTGTTTGCCGTGTTTTCATTCCTCATGTATTAGGTCACCCCCCATGACCACCCGCCCGAGTTTCTGCTCCTGCCGTTTCTTCATCCTCGAATCCGTGCGCTGGGTTTCGCTTGGGTTTTGAAGCGAGCAGGGCCCCAAAAGAGATCATAAAGGGCCCCTTGGCGGGCCCTTTTCTCAGCCCCTCATGGAGGTCAACCCCCACATGACCACCCGCCCGAGTGTCTGGTTCTTCCGTTTCTTCACCTTCGACCTTTTGCGTCGGGTTGCGCGTGGTGTTTAGGCCTCCCAGATGGGGTCGGCGTAGATGGGGTCGGGGGATCGCGCCGCATCGCCGATGCATCGGCGATGCGGCTCGATGTAGAGCCCGATGCTCTCCGCGCTGGCGTCGCCGATACACCGCCGACGTCGCCGATGCATCGGCGATGCATCGGCGGGCGATCTCCGATGAATGAATCGCCGATGTGTCGGCGATGCGGCGCGACCCTCCGACCCCATCCAGGAGGCCTCTGGTTCCGCCTGGTGCCCGGTCGGTTGCCCGCGTGTAGGTCTGGCGACGGGTCTCTCGCCGGCGGCCCGGTCGGTGGCCCGCCTTTGGGCGCCTCGTCGTGGGCGCCCCCGATCCCCCCCCCCTCCTCCTCCCCCTCCTCCTCCTCTCCCTCCTCCTCCTCCTCCTCCTCCTCCTCCTTCTCCTCCTCCTCCTCCTCCTCCTCCTCCTCCTCCTCCTCCTCCTCCTCCTCCTCCTCCTCCTCTCCTCCTCCTCCCCCTCCTCCCCCCCTCCTCCTCCCCCTCCTCCTCGTCCTGGCGCCTTCTTAGTCTGCATGGGCCGCCCGCCGGGCATGTGCTCGCCCCGCCCGGCCCGGCTCCCCGCGGCGCCAGAGGTGGTGGTGAGGCATCGAGCCAACACGCCACGGCGCCAACATCGCAGAGCGGATTTCGCTCGGAAAGCAATGAGATGGGCCCGGATGGCCGAATTTCGCTCCGGATTTCGAAGTGAATTCTTGACGCTTCGCGTATCCCCACCAGGCCTGATCCGCGGCCCTGCGCGCGTTAGGTAATTTAGTCGCGTCCGCGGCCCGTTCGCGACCTTGCGCCGCTGGCGCTTCCGCCTGCGGCTGTAAAAGAAACAGTATCCCCACCAGCCCATCCTACACCAGGCACTCGAACGAAGAGCGCCGATGATCGGCAGCTGTTCTCCTCCCCTCTTCCTCCTTCTCCTCCGCCTTCTCCGCCTCTTCCTCCTCTCCTCCTCCTCCCTCTCCTCCTCCTCCTCCTCCTCCTCCTCCTCCTCCTCCTCCTCCTCCTCCTCATCCCTCCTCCTCCTCCTCCGCCTCTTCCTCCTCCCTGGTGGCGTATTGGACGTATCTTTGAACGTTTTGGTGGGCTCTTGGGCCATGCGGGCGGGCGGGCGGCGCTCCGCCCGCCCGCGCGCAGAGCCCAAGAGGGGGTCCAAGACGTCTTTTGGAACAATCTTGGAGGAGATCGATCAACGAAGGGGGGTTCCCTGATTACAGCCCCCCCCCCCAGGAGCCACGATCCTCGTGAGGGGTGTCGAATTGTAGCCTTCCCAGGAGTCGATCTTGGACGCTCTAACTACCCGCGGCCCCCCCTGTCCAGGTCAGTGGGGAGGGGGTAGGGGGAGGGGTAAACCCCTCCCCGAAGGGGAAGAAGGAGGGGTGGAAGAGGAAACGCTCTAAACCACCGACGCCCAGAGGGCTGGTGGGATTTGAAGTGGATTGTTTCTTGGGCCGGAAATGGAGACTGCAAAACATCCACGTGAACCTCACTCTGTTTTTCGCTCGCCTTTTTCGGGGTTCTGCATAAACAGAAATCCTCGCAACAATCCGCTGCAGCAGGCATGCGAGGTCGGTGCAGTGAAACTAACATACCAATACTATATTAGGGGGTGGGCAGAAACCCCACCCTGACACGTCGATTAGTGAATTGTCCGTTGTCCGTTCTTGAGAGGGCGCCACGGCCGTTCTTTTCCAGGCTTGCGACGGCCAGGTTGGGCCTGATGTTGTTTTCACTGCAACACCTGTTTTACGAAAAGGGGGCTCTGTCCATTTCCTCGATGTGCTCGACCAGACGTAAGAGTGACCCTTCGACGGAGTGACCTCGAGTGCGGGCTCTCTGGGGTCCGGCGATCGCCGAACGCGATGCGCCGGTAGCGCCTTGCGCGCCTGTGTGGTCCCCGCGCGGCCCCCCGAAAAGCCGCGCACTCCTTGCGCGTAACCGATCCGTGTGCGTCGCCCTCCCAGCGGCGACGCGCCCGCCGAGGAAGCTTGCAGCACGCGCGCGGCGGCGGACGCTTGCTGGCCATATACAGCTCGGGAAGTGATCTCCTACCCTGACACGTCGATTAAGGAAGTGGCCGTTTTCGGTTCGCGAGAGGGCGTCGCGGCCGTCATTTTTGCGGGTCCAGGTCCGTCGGTTTCGGTCCTAGGCCGTTTTCACTAAGGGGAGGTTTACTCAAGGGAGGTTTGCCCACCGCCGAAAGATGCTTCTGCTATATTCGGCGGCAAGCCTGGGGGGGGGGAGTGAGAAGGGGTGGGCCTTGGCAGAAGGCTCGGAAGCTCCTCGGCCCTCCGGGCAGTGCCCTAAGCCTTCCCCGAAGACAGAGAAGACCTCCCGGAAGGTCCGAGGCCCTCTGAGAGGCCCCGCCTCCTGCTGAGAGCGCCTTCTCCAACTCACGTCCGCCCCCGAATTTGTTTGTTCCTCCTCCTCCTCCTCCTCCTCCTCCTCCTCCTCCGGGACGATCCAGGCACCCCCGGAGCGCTCTCGGCGAGGTGCAGCTGCTGGCACGCATCCGGAGGCTGGAAGACAGCCGAGGACCGACGAAGACGCCAGAAAACCTCGGAGCTCGAAGTTCGAACCTCGAAGCCCCCCCCCCCTCGCTCGCCGCCGATAGATCTTCTGGCAGGACTTGCGCACCCATGGAGGACGCATAGTCAGGGTGTCCTTGCCACAAGGACATACCAGTATCATGTGTCCTCCTTGGACGCAATGGAGGAGGAGGAGGAGGAGGAGGAGGAGGAGGAGGAGGAGGAGGAGGAGGAGGTGTTTCCTCGTCACAGGAGGCACGAGGACCTTGTGCGTCCCACACGGGCCCCTCAAGGGGTGCGCGCTGGCCTGGGGCTTCTCTGGGGGGGAGGCCTTGGCGTGTGCAGGCGAGAGGCCTCCCGGAAGCTCTGGCGAGGGGCGAACGACGCCCCAGACGCCTAGAGCCGGGATGCTCCTCCTGCTCCTCCTCCTCCTGCTCCTCCCCCCCCTTCTTCCACGAAGAGGGAGAGAGCGAGAGAGAGAGAGAGAGGGAGAGAAGGAGAGGGAGAGAGAACGAGAAAGAGATCGAGTCAGACAGGCACAGGAAGTGCGAGAGAAAGAGAGAGAGAGAGAGAGAACACAACATATAAAAGTAGACAAACGGAAATAGGCAGTGAGAGAGAGAGAGAGAGAGAAAACGAGAGCGAGAGCTTATCAGCATCACAGTGACGATGAACGAGGTCAGGGCGCTGCGGGGCGCGGTGCCGCGACAGGCGAGGCCGTGTGGGCCTTGTCGGCAGCACAGCATGTGTCGCGGCGAGGTCGAGAGAGAGAGAGGGTTGGTTGGAGCTGGCCTGTACAGAAGAAGAGGAGGAGGAGGAGGAGGAGGAGGAGGAGGAGCAACATGGTTGGATAATGGTTGAGGGAGGGGGAGGAGAAGGAGATGGAGTAGGATCATGGTTGGAGGAGGCGATGGAGGAGGAGGAGAAGGAGGAGGAGAAGGCGGAGGAGCAAACTGGTTGGATAATGGTTGAGGAGGGGGAAAGAGGAGAAGGAGGTGGAGTAGGATCATGGTTGGAGGAGGAGGAGGAGGACGCGGAGGATGAGGAGGAGGAGGTTGGAGGAGGGTTGGAGGAGGAGGGGGAGGAGGAGAAGGATCGTCTCTGCCGGGTCGTTTCGGTCGGTGGAGGGGGGGGCGCGCGCCGCCCCCCTGCCGCAGAGCGAGAGGGAGGGCTGGCTGGGGCCTGGCCGGGCCGCCCCGTGCACAGCTGCTCGCCCCCCTCGCCTGGCACCGCGACGTCAACTCGCACAACGTGCTGGTCAGGCCGCGCGCGATGGCCTCTCCCGTGCCCCCCCCCCCCTCCGGCCGGCCGCCTCCCGTCCGCGCTCGGCGGGAGCCGCTCGGGGGCCCCCCCAGACGGGATGGTGACCACACCGCGGGGCGAGTCGGGGGGGGTGCTCAGAGGAGGAAGCGGAACCCACACCTCTGCTTTTTCCTCGGGTCCCAGCTTGTGGGCCTCCTCGGAGGCCCTCGTAGCCACCGCTGGATTCGCCTCGAAATCTTGGTCAGAACGCACCCGGGGAGAGGTCCGGGGAGTAGCTTTTGGTTTCCCCAGATTCGGGGTCGCCGCGCGGCTTGGGAGGTCGGGCCGTTTTCCCAGGAGGTTTCGGGCGACTGGGGCATCCGAGGCCCCAAAGTCTTGCGTTTGCGGACCGTGCGGTGAGGTCTCTCGGGGTGCCGAGGTCAGCCGCACGGTCTGTCACCGCTCTGTTTCGGGCCTCCAACGTGTCAGGCTCGTCGTCGTTGTCGTCGCCGTCGCCGTCGCCGTCGCGTCCGTCGTGGTGGTGGTTGTGGTCGTCGTTGTTGTCGTCGCGGCGAGCCGAGGCTGGAGGTTTGAGTCATTGGGCACCTAGAATTTCGCGCACCAAAGGTGAAGTCGGGCGTGTCCCTCTACAGGAGGTTCAAAATCGGTCAAACAAATAATATTGGAACGACTCATTACCTATTCTCGATATGTTTTAAAACATGTTTCGAGTACTTTTCAACTTTCGCCCAAAATCCGTTTGTAGGGGACATGCCCAAACTAATCCTAGACTTTCGCGCACCAAAGGTAAGTCTTGATTTTGATTTCTCTTACAATGGGAACCCATGCCAACAAACATCCTGCTTGCCTCAAGGGTGCCCTGGGTTTCTTGGGTTTCGATGTATCTGCTGTGGAAAGCGTGACGTTCCCACACCAAGAATGAATGGACGTTCTGGGGTCTCAGGGTTGGGTTTCTTGTGGAAGGTTTCTTGTGGTCGGGCTCCTACTGTACGTGTAGCCGACGAGGAAGTGAAAGGAGGCAGGCCTTTGAGAAACCCTCTGCGGCTCTGGTCTAGGCGTCTAGGCCTCTCGGATAGGGTCAAAACAGATGGGGTCGGAAGATCGCGCTGCATCCCAGATGCATCGCCGATGCGAGTCGATGTGGAGCACGATTCTCTCTGCGCTGGCGTCGTCGAAGCTCCGCCGACGTCGCCGATGTATCGCCGATGCGTCGTGATCCTCCAACCCCATCTACTCGGAACCCAAATTGGAGGCCTCGAAACACAACGAGTTCGTGGCCTGACTCAGGTCATCGGTTATCAGGGGGGGGGGTCCCGAAACATGCGGGCGGTTGTCTCCGAAACGTTTTCCCGAAATGCTTCGACCCGATCGCTTCGATTACGGTCGTTCCTGGGCGAGCTTTACTCGTCCAGTGTCGGGGACCTCGAGGCGACTTGGTAGTGGTCAATGTACATATGCCTTACACGTGCGATGACGTTCGTATCTATCATCAGTACTTACGCCTCATCAATGCCGCCCTTCCTGCGGCTGCGCATACCATGGTTTTCATTCTGGGAGACTGGAACTTCTGTACGATGGAGGATGGTAGGTCTCTTGTCTCAGGGGAGGTTGGGCCTGGGGACCGTTTGCAATGTGATGCTTTTCAGGAGCATTGTAGCCACTGGTGTGAATTGTACCAACCCGACCCAACCAGAAGGGATATTGCGAATCGGGAACTGAGGGGGCTGGCCAGATTAGATCGGATTTACACGACCTTTCCTGCAGGTATTCTTAATGATATGACCGTTGTTGTCAACGCTGCCGGCGCCCTCATGCATCCAGGGGCCTCCTCCGATCACATTCCCGTGACTGCCACTGTTTCCCTCCCGACCCCGAAGGGTCGTTTCTCGGTTCCGAAAAGGATCAGCCAGCATGCCGACTACCACAGAATGGTTTCCGAACAGCTTCGGGAGCTGACGCTCCCTTCGGACCCTGCACAGAAACTCGCGAGGGTGAAAGAAGTTTTTGGTGCGGCAGCTGTGGAATTTCGAGTCGGGGGTGGTGCTCAGAGGAGGAAGCGGAACCCACACCTCTGCTTTTTCCTCGGGTCCCAGCTTGTGGGCCTCCTCGGAGGCCCTCGTAGCCACCGCTGGATTCGCCTCGAAATCTTGGTCAGAACGCACCCGGGGAGAGGTCCGGGGAGTAGCTTTTGGTTTCCCCAGATTCGGGGTCGCCGCGCGGCTTGGGAGGTCGGGCCGTTTTCCCAGGAGGTTTCGGGCGACTGGGGCATCCGAGGCCCCAAAGTCTTGCGTTTGCGGACCGTGCGGTGAGGTCTCTCGGGGTGCCGAGGTCAGCCGCACGGTCTGTCACCGCTCTGTTTCGGGCCTCCAAAGTGTCAGGCTCGTCGTCGTTGTCGTCGCCGTCGCCGTCGCCGTCGCGTCCGTCGTGGTGGTGGTTGTGGTCGTCGTTGTTGTCGTCGCGGCGGGCCGAGGCTGGAGGTTTGAGTCATTGGGCACCTAGAATTTCGCGCACCAAAGGTGAAGTCGGGCGTGTCCCTCTACAGGAGGTTCAAAACCGGTCAAACAAATAATATTGGAACGACTCATTACCTATTCTCGATATGTTTTAAAACATGTTTCGAGTACTGTTCAATTTTCGCCCACAATCCGTTTGTAGGGGACATGCCCAAACTAATCCTAGACTTTCGCGCACCAAAGGTAAGTCTTGATTTTGATTTCTCTTACAATGGGAACCCATGCCAACAAACATCCTGCTTGCCTCAAGGGTGCCCTGGGTTTCTTGGGTTTCGATGTATCTGCTGTGGAAAGCGTGACGTTCCCACACCAAGAATGAATGGACGTTCTGGGGTCTCAGGGTTGGGTTTCTTGTGGAAGGTTTCTTGTGGTCGGGCTCCTACTGTACGTGTAGCCGACGAGGAAGTGAAAGGAGGCAGGCCTTTGAGAAACCCTCTGCGGCTCTGGTCTAGGCGTCTAGGCCTCTCGGATAGGGTCAAAACAGATGGGGTCGGAAGATCGCGCTGCATCCCAGATGCATCGCCGATGCGAGTCGATGTGGAGCACGATTCTCTCTGCGCTGGCGTCGTCGAAGCTCCGCCGACGTCGCCGATGTATCGCCGATGCGTCGTGATCCTCCAACCCCATCTACTCGGAACCCAAATTGGAGGCCTCGAAACACAACGAGTTCGTGGCCTGACTCATGTCATCGGTTATCAGGGGGGGGGTTCCCGAAACATGCGGGCGGTTGTCTCCGAAGAGTTTTCACACAGTTCGTGACCTCATAGGGAGATTCACCGAAGGCCTCAGTTGTAAGGTTCGCATGGCGGCGCCACCCATTTCGGCGCACACATCACACGCTTCGTGACCCCAGGGGTAGTTCCACCAACGGCCCCTGTGGCAGGCTCGAGAAGCGGCGCCGCCCTAATGTGGCGCACCCCTCGCTCGGTTCGTGGCCCCGTAGGGAGTTCAACCGAAGGCACAAGTGACAGGGTCCACATGTGTCTCCCTGCCTAAAGTCGGCACGCCCCTCATACGTTTCGTGTCCCCATGGGGAGCTTCACCGAAGGCCCCAATCGAAGGGGTGCGCATGGCGGTGCCGCGCCATCGTGGTCCCAGGTTCGTGGTCCCAGGGGGAGTTCCACCGAATGCCCCCCTGGCAGGGTTCGCGTGGTGGCGCCGTCACACGGTTCGTGGCCCCATGGGGAGATCTTCCGAAGGCCTCGGGTGTAAGGTCCCTCGGCGGGTGTTGACGACCCTTCTAAGGTCCTTTTCGCTCTTTATTCCCAACCCTCCTGCGTTGGGTTCTCGTTTTGAATAGAGCGCCGCTGTGCTCTCCAACCTCCCTCCCTCCTTCCTTCCTCCTCCCTCTCCTGCCTCCTCCTCCTGCTCCTCTTGCTCCTTTTCCTCATCCTCTTCTCCCTCCTACTTCTCCCCTCCTCCCCTCCTCCTCGTCCTTTTCCTCCTCCTCCTCCCCCTCCTCCTCCTCCTCCTCCTCCTCCTCCTCCTCCTCCTCCTCCTCCTCCTCCTCCTCCTCCTCCTCCTCCTCCTCCTCCTCTAAGGTCGTGTTCCGTAGCCATTTTGGCTCAAGGGGCTTTCTCCTGAACTTCCCAACCTCGCTCGAGGCGCCTGGTGGCCAGGCACCAAGGCCGGGAGCGGACGCGCTCCCCTGGCCCCGCGGGGCCGCTCTCCCTCGGCCGCTGCGGCCGCGCCTTCCCTCTTTCCGTGCGCCATGCCGTCTGAAAATAGCTGGCCAGTTTCGCTCTCCTCAACTCCGCCAGCCTCCCCTGGAGGGACGAGTACCCCCCCTGCGGCGCCTGGAGGTACATCCGTGGAGGGAATGAGGGACACAGAGAAGATCCTCGCTGCCATGCGTGACATGATCGCTCCTCTGTCGTCGTCGGTCGCCAGCCTGTCCAGTCATTTGAATCTCGGCGCGCAGGAGATAAAGCAACAGATCTCGGGAATCCAGGGTCAGATGATCGCAGCCGAGAAGAACTTCCAGACACTACAGCAGGCACGCACGGAACTGGCAAAACAGACAGCATCGAATTTCGAGCAGATGCGTGCGATCCACGAGAAGGCCCTCCTGCAGTGCATTCAGGACCGTGAGACAGCAGAATCTGCCCTTCGGGATGAGCTCAAAGGAATGATCCAGACGATGCGTGACGAGATCCAGGACATTCAGAAAGCCGTCGAGCTTGGGACCCCGACACCTCGAGGGGAAGAAGAAAGGCAAGTCCGTCGGAAGGTTGAGTCTGGGCTAGCGGGTAACCCCTCGCGTCTTGTGCTTCTTGGATTCCCACGGCCGCTGATGGAGAAAACGCTATGTGAAGCCGTCCAGAGCATCCTCGCCCGCTGTGCTCCGTCCTCGTCTCAGGGTTCGATCCATGTCAAGGCCTTCGATTGCAGTAAGAAGGTGTTCCTGTACTTTGATTCCAACCTAGAGGCCTCCACGTTCCATGGAATGGCGTCGTCCGTGGGCGCGTTCCCTTTCCCGAACCCTG